CAGTGAACACTTTTTTCAGAGACTAAGTAAATATTCAGAAGTATAAAAAACCCCCAAAACCCCAAACCAGACTCAAATCTGGTGTAAATCCTTACATATGCCTGTTAAAAAGAGGAATACGTGACCAATGTAACAGTCCACTGTAGAATGTGCTCAACAGGGACTTCTGAATTTTTCAGAACTTCTTACAAAAAAAGAGAAATTAGGATATGCCTATACATCTCAAAATTATAGCAAACAAACAAGAAACCCCAAATGAAACCCCGGATAGAACTGATACTGCAAAGGATAACAGACTTTAGCTCTCAGCTGTCAGGACTAACTCCACAAAGGAATTAAATGTCATGTTACATCTGAGGCTTAAGGTACCCTAAAATCTCCTGAGCTTGATTTTTTACCTTTCTTCAGTTATTAAGTCACTTGCCCTTCTTACTTTTCACATGCCATACAGCTCTTATACTTTGTTTCACTGATCTATTTTAAGAGCTTAGAAATGTTTCAGTTCTAAGTACTTTGCACAATATCATGTCCAACTGACCAATAATAATTTAGATTATCTTTAAAGGCCAAAATCATAATAGTTTGCTTAATTTAACTAGTGCCACTGACTTCAGTGTGACTTACTAAAGAAAAAGAATATGATCTGGCTCATCATAAATGAGAAGTTAATTATAAAAAAAATACTGGATGACCACGTGACACAAAGGTTAGGGCTAACGAGCAGAGAAAAGATGAAGTCATGAAAAACACAGAGTCATGAAAAAGGGCGTAGATTCTATCTCCAGAACTCTTCAAAGGCTGCTCTGACAAGGCAGTGCTGATCTCTGCCCTGAGCCACCTTGCTGGGTTGGTCACAGTAGTTATAGGGTTGCTTGTTTTATTAAAGATTATTGTGTCAGAGTACCAGAGTGTGTGTGGGGGGGAGGAATTGTGACCCTCTCAGTTTCTGCCAGCACCAGAATTACAGTCAGAGGAAAGGCTGCATTCACAAAGCCACACTTCAGCCTCGTGCCAGTTTGCTTTAGGCCAGGTCAGAGCTCCCGGTGCCCCAGGCCAGGCCAGAGGCATCGCAGCGTTCTGGGACTCCTTGGGGCATTCTCAGCTTTACAGGCACAGCTGTGCTGCTTTGCCAAGAGACTGTGCCAGGCCTGCCCCAGACCGCACCCAGGGTACCTGCCCTGACTGCTGGAGCTCTGGGAGGGCAGCAGGAGCTGTGATAAATCAGCTTCACTGGAGGAAACTTAGAACTACCATTCCATGGGAATTCAAGACTTGGCAGCTATCAGGTAATTTTTCTTCCCAAAGACAACTGATGCAACCATTTAAGCCTTTCTGAGCACTGTGCTGTGATGGAAGAAGAAATGTTGGTGTGTATTTGACACTCAGAATCACAGCATGCAGAGTACCTGTTACCAAGCACTTAACATCACACAGGTAAGCCTGTTCAGAATCTTTTGCTCATACTAAATCGACATCCCACATTAAGTATTTCCAGAAACTTGTCTAGTTCTTCAAGTCACTGCCCTGGACTATTTCTTGCCAGACTTTCACACAGTCCATTCCTGTCACCTCCTTCCTCACAGCCAGAAGTTCTGGACAATTCTTTTTCACTTGTTACCTTTAGGCTCTCATCCTGGTATAGCACAGCAACTACTTTTCAACTTCTTACACGTTCAAAAAATCCCCTGGCAACCTCTACACAGAAGAAAAAAATCTTGGTTTGAGATGTCTGTGCTGAAACTATTTTGTAGATAGACTTGCCATGTAAATGCACCTGGATGGGGGGTGATCAGAGTAATTCCCTGAGGAAGCAATACCATGCAATGCCATAATGTACAGGACAACAAACACGCAGTGTCTAGGGGACACGATGAGAAGCATGGAGAATTCACTAGAGTTTGACCAGATCAACAGAGTAAATAATGTGTTAAAAAAGGCAAAAAAACCACCCCAACAGTCTTTTGTATCCACCTAAGCTTCTACTGAAGCAGCTCAGTTTCCTCCAGTAATTTCTTAAGACCTGATTCAATTCTTGCTGAAGAGGAATTCTTCCACTTGGAGAAGGGCAGTATTCTCCAAATGAGAAAAACCCTTCGAAAGAGAAGGATCCCTTCCAATACCGTTTGTTATGTTTCCAGAGCCCTTTATTGGTTTATTCTTTCTTTCAAACATGACCAGATCACAGTTCAATAGAAAAACTACTGATGCAGGTTGTTTCCAAGCAATCTTTAGTAATAGGAAATAGTAGGATTTTTCCCATTCTTTTTTACATCTCCCATCAGTAATTCCTGCTGCATTTCACTCAGGGCATATGACTACATGGTTATTATAGTTTAATTTGTATTTTTTTCTATTTTCAAGTAAATTGACAGAGACAGGTTGTTACTCAGCTATTACTGAAGCAATAGCAAAAAGAGCAACAGAAAATGTTCTTTGTGTTGGGTTCTGCCCAAGAAATATTTGATTTTTGTGGTGTTTCCTGGAAAGACAATAAATTGAAAAAGTGAAGTATATTTCTAGGATTCTTGTAAAGTCAAAGATACTTAAATGCCCACTCATATGGACATTTATTCTGTGAAATCTTGTGAATTTACCCTAGCTCTAGTCAGATACATATAGAGCATGAATTTTAAACCCATGATTGAATTAAGATTAAATAAAAAGCATTTGCATTTTTCTTGCATTATCTAGATTAGTAACTATATAGATTACTTAAAATTCTAATCTTCTTCTAATCCAATAATCAAAAAATTACCCTGCAGTGAAAAAGAAAGCTTTTCAGCAAACTTCAGATTGAAAACCCATTACCATGTTTCAGGAAAAAACCACTTATATTTCTGTGTGTATCACACATGTTTTAAGATGCTTAGAAATGTTTCAGTTCTAAGTACTTTGCACAATATCATGCCCAACTGACCAATAATAATTTAGATTATCTTTAAAGGCCAAAATCATAATAGTTTGCTTAACAACAACACACATGTCCTATTAACTGTTGTGGGTAATTTCTTTAATCAGAAAAGCATTTCTCCACTGGCATACAGAATTATTCAAGTAATTATGAACTTTCTCTAGTGTTAAAAACCATTATTTTCTGTGAGTGTTCTGAAGCCAGTGGATATGACTGAAGCATCCATCCAGGTATCTGTCCTGCCTGAAAAACCTTCGTACGCTGACCCAAATCACACACGAAGGTGCTTCTCCTCATATACACAGCATTTGCCCCTACTGGTTTTTGGTTTTAATACCTCATTTCTCAAACACTGACAACCAAATCTGATTTTCACTTGCTATTTTGTCCTTTAAAGAAGATCCAGCTGACCCTGCTCTCATGGATGATAAGGAACCTCTTCCAGCTTCATTTAAAGAACATTTTTAAATCGGTCTGTTTGGGTTTTATTCTGTTCATGGTTGACTGATCTACTGGTGTTATGCACATCAGAGTTAAAATGTTGTTATCCCAGATGAGGGCTACATTGTGACAGAGCAGATTATGAACACCAAGTAACAAGTCTGAAGTACCCCATAAACTGAGATCCCAACCCTCAAACGGTGGTGCTTCTGACACGGGGCAGTGTTCATTGACCTACAGGGCTAAGGAATCCAACACAAGCCAAAGCCTGAACCGAGTCAGGGTCTCTGCGGGAGGTTTTACAACAGCACCTTGTCACTGGCACTGCTCTACTGTCAACCCCTTCAGACCCAGAAGAGCTCCCAGGCACGGAGAGGATGCTCTCCCCACAGGAGCCTGGCACACAGGGCTGTGTGCTGATAGCCCTCTGGACCAAACGGAGCAAGGGCACAGTCCGGCCATCCTTAAATCCCAGCAATTTCCATGCGGCAGGAGCATCTCAGGAACTCAGCCAACTAAGTTTAGGTTATCCTACTGCTCTGCTGGGAGATGGAGGGGGCTTTTGGGAATCAGAGGCCTCCACAGGTCATAAAGACTGAGGCTCACTGTGCTGCACCTCTGGTTTCTTCCATCAAAGTGCAGTTACACAAAGGTGTTTTCTTTCCCAGTATCCTACTGATCGATCACTGGCAGCGCCGATTGTCTCATTCACTTTTCTCTTGCCATCTATGGCTACCAAGTAAAATAGTGCGGCGTAGGGATGGCGAGTTTAACCTACCCTTACTTACTACTGAGAGAGAAAACAGTCTAGGTTATTTTAACGAATGGGAAATTATGTTGAATTTCACCTCCAAAAAAGACCAGGTCCACCTTAAAAAAGCCAAGTTCCTCCTCGCGCCCCGAGTTCGGAGTTTGCTGCCTGAGTTCCCTGTAAGCCAGCTAACGCCAGTTGTTAATATGCCCGTGAATGGGATCGGCAGACCCTGTTCCTATTGAAGAAGCGGTGGTTTCGTCTGGCCTGGCAGGGGCTCACGGAGATCGCCCTGGCAGACCTGGCACGGAGCGGGGCTGGGGCTCCGGCCGGGCAGGCACCGAGCGCGGCGGGCACGGCGCTCCTCCCCGGCCCCGTTCCCGTTCCCGTTCCCGTTCCCGTTCCCGTTCCCGTTCCCGTTCCCGTTCCCGTTCCCGTTCCCGCCCCGTTCCCGTTCCCGGCCGGTATCCCCGCCCCGTTCCCGTTCCCGTTCCCGGCCGGTATCCCCGCCCCGTTCCCGTTCCCGGTCGGTATCCCCGTCCCGTTACCGGCCCCTCTCCGCAGCACCCCCGCCATGTCAGCGGCCGCCCCGGGTCGGGCCCGGCGCCGGGGGCGGGTCCCGGGAAGGGGCCGTGTCCCGGGAAGGGGCCGTGCCCCGGGAAGGGGCCGTGCCCGCAGCCCAGCGCCCATTGGGTCCCCGCGGGGCTGTGGGGGCAGCAGGGCCCGGCGCTGGGCGCTGCGCTGAGCTGGGGCAGAGCTGCCAAAGAGAGCGAGGGGCATCTGCAGAGACAGCGTTTCTGACCAAATCACACGGGATCACAGCTCGATGAGGCTGGAAAACACCTCTGAGACCGTGCATTTTTGCTCACAGAATGAGCTGGAAACGTGTGCCTCCAAGATAGCCCTTGTATCTGGGTCAGAGACTCCACACTGTGAAGTAGGATGACTGTATCTGCTATACTTAGAACAGGTTTTCCAGTGCCGATGAACATCCCAGTCCATGGCAACCCCGCGCCCTTCACAGGGGAAACCGAACACCCGGTTAGGGGGGCGGGACTGCCCCGGCTCGGGGGGCGGGAATGCCCCGGCTGGGAGGGCGGGAATGCCCGGCTCGGGGGGCGGGAATGCCCCGGCTCGGGGGGCGGGAATGCCCCGGCTGGGAGGGCGGGCTGGTGCGGGCTCGGCAGGCGGAACTGTTGTGCGCGGAACGCCGGCGGCGGGCGCGGGAGGTGTCCGGTCCGGTGCGGTGCGGTGCGCTCGGCGCGGGGGCGGGGCCGGCCCGCACGTGTCGGGAGCGATGGCGGCGGGGCCGGGGCCGGGGCTGGTGCCGGTGCTGGGCGTGCAGGGCATGCAGGGCATCCAGACGGGCCTCAGGGTAACGGGAGCGGCCGCCGCGCGCCCCGAGCGCTTCCTCAGGTACGCGGGGGGGCAGCGCTGGTAGCGCTGGAGAAAAACCCGGAGGAGACGGACCGGGGTAAAGGCCCAGGAGGGAGGCAGGCACCGCTGGGGATGAGGCTGTGGAGAAAGGCAGGCACCGCTCCAAAACCAAGGGTCTGGCTCTCGGGCGTTTGAAGTGTTTGTTTGGTGCTGTACGGTTTACTCCTGCAGCGCTAAAATATGATCGACATACTGTAAGATGCAGCTAGAGAAGGGTGCAGTGCCCTGTGCAGCTGCTGCTCCGTACACAACGTGTGATGAAGCTGAAAGGCTCAGGAATCATGTCTCTGCTTTAGCAGTGTGCAGTGGCGGTACTCCAGGAGGTGTGCAGAAGGTTAAAGCACCCCAGCAGTTGTTGAGAGCTGCTGTTCTGCAGCACCAGAATGCCTGAGCAGATGTGACCATGTGATAACTTCACGGAAGGTGTAAAACGAATCAAAGGGGGTGAAATCTGCAAAGTAAAAAACTAATACGAACTTGTGCTTTTAACTCTTTTTTTTTTCCCCGCCCTTAGTGTGCAAGAGGGACTGGCTGCCAACTTCAGAGCATTGACAAAGACTCTCTATGATTTGAATAAAGGAAACAACATCGTTCCGGGGGGTCCTCTAAAAGAGCTGGCGATCGAAAACTTTGATGAGGAACAGATCTGGCAACAACTAGAGCTCCGGAACAGTGCAGTTCTTGATTTCTTCAGGAAATCCATTGCCAGGGATGCCAAGGATGACGGTCTTTGCCTTCTCTCGGACCAGGAAGAGGATGGCTCTGATGCTGAGCCCAGCAGTGAGGGGGAATTGGAAGACAACGCAATGGAAGCAGAAGCTGAACAGAGGGATGTTTATACAAAAGATATAACTAAAGCTAAAGAAAAGCAAAGCAAACTCAGAGAAAGCAAAATGCAGAAATACAGTGATGAGGATTCTGATCTCGACTTCGATATTGAAGCACTGGAGCAACAAACTAAAACGGGCAAGGAAACCACACTGAAAAAAGTGGGAAGAAAATCTGTAGTGGATGACAAGTTTTTCAAGCTGGCTGAGATGGAAGCTTTTTTAGAACAGGCAGAGAAGGAAGATGAGGAGGAAGATGATATTAATTATTTTGAAGACATTTTCTCAGATGATGAGGAAGAAGGGTCAGAAGATGCTAAAGTCAAAGTAAGAATATCAGTAAAATAATTTTCTGATGTCTCTTTTCCTTTAAATCAAGATCTGGTATCTGTTAGGGTGACTATAAACTGTTGAAGTCTGAGTAGAAACGACCTAGTTAAATTTGATGAGGTGACTAATGACTCCTTCTGAAGCTTTGTTAAACAATGTATTTGACATGAGTGTCTGGTAAGAAAATGTCCCAGTGTGAAGGCTATAGTGTTCTGCTGTCCCAGCCGCTGCTTGGATGGGTCTTTATTGCTTAAGTAAAGGAAGAGACAGTGTGTGGCAGGAAATAAAGCACCTTGCAGAACTGGGGACCCAGCAGTGACAGGTTTGTCACTCAGCACTGGCAGCTGGCAGGTAGAGATCACCGAGGTGACTGATGCAGAGCAAAGGGCTTTTTCCAGGGGCAAGGAATTTGTGTGCATTCCCACACGGATCTGGCAAAATGTACCATTCTTTGACTTCTGTATATTCAAGTGGTAGAGTATTTTAAATACTTGCAAAAGAAATAAGTTTACTAAGATGCCCCACTACAAGTCAGTGCCATTCAGTTAATTCACTAAACTGAATTACTCTTCCACCAGTTGTGCCATTCCCCAGGCACTAAAGGTTTCAGAAGAGAGGATACCCTTTGATATCTGTCAGTCTTAACAGCTGTTTGTTTTTTCCCTTTCTCTCTAACCTTTGTAGCCAATTAAAAGTTCTAGAGATGTGACATACGAGGATTTCTTTGATCCAGTTGATGATGATGATGGTGACTTAGTAGCTAATGACGTTGGAGATGGTGAGGAAGAGGAAGCAGACAGTGCTATTGAAGAGCAAAATGAAGAAAGCATGTCTGAGTAAGTCTTTGCATTAATTGCACTTGAAAATGTCCGTGTAATTTTACACTGCAGTGAAGCAGAAAACAGTGGGAATGCCAGGCTGATTTTCATGGTCTGCCATTCTCAGTTCACTGTTGGATGTGCATGGTTTGCATTGTCACTTTATTTCAAATGATTTACTTTTTTTTTGGAGTATTGTCTCCTGATATTTATTTGCATAAAGCACTGAAGAGCTGTAAGTTCATTTTTTGGAAGTTATTTTCATTATCTAGACGTTTCCCTAGTGTCCCCTACCTTTAGGAGGGATCTTTGAAACCTGTTGTATTTCTGAGCTGTGAGTTGTAACAGGTGAACCTCTGAGGGCTGGAATATCTTCATGTAAAAAATTATAGACGCTTTTCAACCTTTATTTGATTTTAAATTTTATTGTTACAGGTTTGAGGATATGGATGAAATGGTGGCGAATATGAGAAATAAAGAAGCATCTAAAAAAGTTACTTTTAGTTTGCCAGATGACAGTGAGACAGAAGATGTGACTGAAATGCAATCAGAGAAGGGCACTGAGCCCGGGGAAACAAAGTCCTCTTTTGAGAAGAGGCAGGAGAAGGTAACGGGGTGTCGGTTTTCACTGGGGTTTATTTTAATTTTGCTAATACTTCAAAACAGTGCCAAATATTGTTTTTACTGGTTGTGTAATTTGTTCAGTCTGGCAAGTATGGAGAGGGTATTTACAATGTAAGAAAAAAAAATATGGCTTATCTACATCAGATATATATGCAGTCATTTTTATATGAGGAGGGGTTAGAAGTACCTAAAGTAAGTGTTCATTTCTTGCCTTGAATTTATTAGTGAGCTCTGTTTTCAACTCCTTAGGAAATTGTATTTTCCAGATGAGCAAGAAAATAAAAACTTTAGAAGAAGAGCTGTTAGAGGAGAAACCTTGGCAGCTTAAAGGAGAAGTGAGTGGGCAGAAGCGGCCTGAGAACAGCCTGCTGGAGGAGACGGTGCTCTTTGAGCACGCAGTGCGCATGGGTGAGTCAGGGGAGGCTGCCCTGGCAGCGTGCTGGCCACCACCACGGCTGTCCTTCCTTACATAACGGGATTTCTACTTGCATTTACTCACTTCTTCAATTACTACGTTTTTGTAAATGTAATTTACTTTCTTTTTCTGTTGTTTTTTCTTTATAGAAGTTATTTCTTGCTGAAGAAACACTAACCTTAAAATTCTTTTTCTCCTTTCAGCACCTGTGATCACAGAAGAAACTACTTTTCAGCTTGAAGATATCATTAAACAGAGAATACTGGATGAGGTCAATATTCCCTGTCTTGTTCCTTCCTATTTTGTTCATGGATTTCATTCACAGGGCACATTCCAAGGGTGAAGCATTTCCAATGCCAGGTGTAGAACTATCTGAAATTCTACAACTGGCTGTTTATTCCTCTGGCTTGATGAATGTGTCTCTAGATTTCTAGGAAGCCTATTTTTATATCCCCGTTATATGCCAGATTTTGGTGTGCTTCAAAAAATAAGTGTTTGCAGATAAAACTGTAAGGAGTTTATTAGGAATATAACACTAGTCTGTAAGTTTTGGCTGTTACCATCTGTAGTGCTCTGAGCATTCTGAATACTGACCAAAACTCAGTTGTTTACTTCATTTTTCTTAAAAGCCACTGATAAAAAAATTCTGATTGTTTACTTTATTTTTCTTAAAAGTCACTGATAAAAAATTTGTATCTCACAGCTTGTTGAGCCTTATTGTTGGTTGAATTGGTACATATGGGGGAGAGTTTTTAAGTACTTAAGAAAATTACAGATTTGGTACAGGCTGTGCCCCAATTCACTAAAAACAAGGACACAAGCTAGAGTAGTAACTTTTATTACTTTTTTTGTTTTTCAAATGAAAGTGTGAAACTTCCTGAGTTCCTGGGAAGCCACATGCATAAAGCAGTTGATGTGCCAGACAAGCCATTGAAAAATGTTCCAAATTAGCTGTGCCATCTGATATTTGACCGTAGCTGCATTTGCTCATTGCTTGGTTGCTTTCTCAGGTGTGGGATGATGTGGTACCAAAAGAAAAGCCAAAAGAGGAGGCTTTTGAATACAAGAAACGGATCACTTTGGATCATGAAAAGAGTAAGCTGAGCCTTGCTGAAATCTATGAGCAAGAATACATGAAACTTCACCAGGTAACAGAAACAGTGCCTTTCCTTCAGGTTTGAAGTTGACACTGCATAATCTCGAATGTTCGTTTATACACTGCTAACTCTGCTTTCAGTTTCCATCTTCCTCTCGGTATTCACCAGTGAAAGGGTTCCTAGTTGTGTGTTGTGCTGTTACCAGTCTTGCTAAAGTAAAATACCTTCATGAATGGTGTTGAGTAACATTGCATTATTAATGCAGCAAAAGACTGAAGAGGAAGAAAATCCTGAACACAAAGAAATTCAGGAAATGATGGACTCGCTCTTCCTGAAGCTGGATGCACTCTGTAACTTCCACTTCACACCCAAACCAGTGAGTATATAAGTTTCATAAAGTTGGGGATCCCCCCATTTTTTAAACTGGATACTTCAAAATATATTTCAGAAACAGAAAGTAAAGTAAACACTGATGTTTACTGAGCTCATTCTTACTTCACATTAAATGCACCACGATTACCTCTAACCAAACCCAAACACTGGGTATCTTGAGTGAGTGTGAGCTGCTGTGCTCAGGCTTGAATGTGTCTCCTTATTTGCAGCCGGTACCAGAAGTTAAAATAGTGTCCAACCTTCCAGCCATAAGTATGGAAGAAGTGGCCCCCGTGGCTGTCAGTGATGCTGCTCTCTTAGCACCAGAGGAGATCAAGGTAAGTCTCCAACTGCCAGGGCTGGAGAGAGGATCTGTGTTGTTTACAGAAGGATGTTTACTGCCAGATCAGTGGGAATTCTGCCCCTTCCCCCCCTGGGGGGTGGTTCCTCACCTTGTGGACCTTCTCGCCTAGCATTTTATGTTGGTTGTTGTTGGGGGTTTTTTGGGGGGTGGGGTTTTTTTTGCTAACTGAAAGGTGGGAAAGAGTTCATTGTACTTGGTGCTATAATATCGTGCTATGTTTTTATCTTGACTATTACGTGATGCTCACTGTTTTTGTAGCATATGTATGGGTGTTTGGAAGGCAAAAGCTAAATGACGGTACAGAAGAGCAATTAGTATGTCCTCAATTAGTTGTACAAATCTCATTGCCCAGCTTTTCCCAGTTTTTGGCCTTTGCCTTAATCCAGCCTTGCCCTGAGCTGGCACTCACTTGAACTAATGAGAGAGATTTGACAGATTTGAGTGCTGTGAGGTGAGCCTGGTCTTTTGCGTGCTTATGGATTAGGGATCTTGTTCTCTCTAGGAAAAGAACAAAGCTGGAGATGTAAAAACAGATGCAGAAAAGACTCCCACAGACAAAAAACGAGAACTAAGAAGGAAAAAGCTCCGCAAACGTATGAGGCGAAGGGAGAGGGAGAAACGCCAGAAGCTTCTTGAGAAGATGAACCCAGAGCAAGGCACAAAACTCAGCAAAAAAGCTGCTGCAGCCAAATTAAAACGGCTCACAAAGGAAGGCAAAGCATCTCTGCTCAAGGTAAGACAGTCTGAGTTGGAGCTTCCCAGCTAAAGAATATTAAGCTCCAAGGATAGACAATTTTAGCGAGGGAGAAGAAAGGTAACTGTATCCCAAAGAATTACAAAGTACAAGGTTTGTTCCCCTCTCATCCTTCCTGTCTCAACAATCTTTCCTTATCCTCTCAAGAAATCTTGCACAAGGATAGAATCTGTGCTTACCACCCAAACCTTGTTACCTTATGTGAGAGCAAATAAAGGGTAAGTGGAGCTGCTGCGAAGAAAGAGGGAGGAAGGCACAGAAGGGCAGATGCATATTCCTTTATTTATGTTTATTTTTTATTCCTTCTCCTTACTTTCCCTTGTGTTCTTTTGAACTGCAGTTTTTCTAGTTGTAACTGTCTTATTGCAAAGTAGGGTTGAATGCCTTTTAGTCCTGATTTTGTTAATTATCCTGACATGATGCCAGTATTGAGGCCTGAAGAAATACAGCTCTTGTTGCACTTTGCAGGGACCCCCTTGTTAAAAATGCATACTTATGTAGATGGTACTGCTTTAATTATGACTACATCATACCTAAGTGGTTCTTTAGAAGTTTACTTGGAGTATGGAATATATTTGAATTTGTAAGCAGCTTAATATTTCAGATATGGAAAACTGTGAAAAAGCTCTGTGACACAATGACTTTATGTGAAAGTATGTCCACAAAGCAGAAATGATTTTGTGTGAGGTACTACTTTTTGTGGTGTTCCTGCAAGTAAGACATGCTCTGTTTTTCCTGCATTTAAAGCATTCCACTTGATTAAGTGGGCCTCTTTGAATGCACAGTTGAGACTGAGACTTCTGTGTTCTAAGATTTGAGTAACTGAAGCTGTGGTGTAACAGAATAGTCCTGGTTAACTTTGGCCTTTTGGTGGAGCCTTCCCTATAATCTCCTGAGATTGGTTTTGTTTTGCATGCTGTAAAACAGTAAACTTGTGCACCACCTATGATGCCTTATAAATCAAATGTTAAAAATCTCTGAAATTTTGAAGTATTAGAAACTAACAGGAAAAACAACTTGGTTACTCCTAAATGTGCTTACCTTTTCAGAAGACAAGCAGAACACAAACCACAGATATCCTGTTGTAGTTCATGATGTGCAAGGATTTGTTCTTGATGCCTGCTCTTACCTGTCATGCTAATTGCTATTTAGAAAGGGAATGTAATCTTTAGACAGCAGGAGTGGAACAAAAATGTGGGGGAAAATAACCTTTGAAAACAAGCTACCTGATTTTTTTTTTTTTAAGTCAAATACCATTACATGTGAGTAACTAGTAAGTAATACAATGGCACTGTTTGTACATTTCCTGGTTATAACAGATGTTTTGTCCATTGACAGGATGAAGGTAAAGACAAGGCCTTGAAATCATCCCAGGCCTTCTTTTCTCAACTGCAAGATCAAGTAAAAATGCAAATAAAAGATGCGAGCAAATTAAAGAAGAAACAGAAGAAGGAGAAAACACTCTCTGTTCATAAATTGAAGTTGTAATTTACCTTTTTATATATGTTGCATCTTGTATATATTAAAATGTTTCTTCATGAATGCTGAATTTGACTAAGTTTTATTCTGTGCTAATCTTTAAAATATTCTGTGAACTTCTCAGGTGATGTAAAGATGCTTTCCTGTAGGTTTTACTTTAATTTTCTACTGTAGAACTCTGCTGCTTGCCCAGGGCAGATACATAACCATGTAAAATATTTGACATGTCCTGTGACTGTACAGTCTCTTTAATCTGTAGCCCCTAGATTTGTATCTGCTCTATCTACTGCAGGAGTAACTGCATTTATTGAAGAACTTAAGATAGTAGTTAACGTAGTTAACTTAGAAATTATATTCTGAAACAGTGAGTACCAAACAGGACACAAAAGCTTTTTAAGCTTGTGGTATCTCAGAGTCAGGAAATGGCTTCTCTTAACTTACGAGTCGCACAGTGGGTCAGGTTGAAGGGTCCACGGTGGGTCCCCTGGTCCCAGCTCTCGGGCAGGGCCCTCCCCGAGCACAGGGCACCGGAGTGTGGTCAGATGGCTCTGGGAGATCTCCCTGAGGAGACTCCACACCCTCTCTGGGCAGCCTGGTCAGTGCTGGGTCACTGCACAGCAGACAAGTTCTTCCTCATGTCCAGCTGGAACTTGCTGGGCATCAGTTCCTGCCCATTCCTCTTGTGCCATTGCTGGGCCCCCCCAGCAGAGCCTGCTCAGACTGGGATGGGGCCCCTCCGTGCCTTCATCTAACGCTTCCTTTTACATCCTCCCATACCCGCCCTGTTCTCAGAGTCCACAGTAACCGAATTTCTCAAGATGGAAATATTTCACTATTTGCTCTTTTCTCGGCTGAACAAAGAAAAGAAAAGCCTCCAGCCGGTGCCCCTGTGGACCTCAACTGTTCTCCCCCCGTTGTTGTCAAAAGAGATGCTCAAAGCAAGCAGGGCCGTGTCGGTGGGGTTGGAGCGCGGGGCCGCCGCTATCGGCGCTGCGGTGTTCAGGCCTGGCAAGGGCGGGACTGGGACGGGACTGGGACGGCACTCACGGCCCTGGCCCCCACGGCCCGGCCCTGTCCCCCACGGCCCGGCACTCACGGCCCTGTCCCCAACGGCCCTGTCCCCAACAGCCCGGGCCCTTACGGCACTCACGGCCCTGTCCCCCACGGCCCTGTCCCTCACGGCCCTGTCCCCCACGGCCCTGTCCCTCACGGCCCTGTCCCCAACCGCCCGGGCCCTCACGGCCCTCACGGCCCTCCCCCTCACGATCCTGCCCCTCACGGCCCGGCCCTGCCCCTCACGGTCCCGCACACACGGCCCTGCCCCTCACGATCCTGCCCCTCACGGCCCCGTCCCTCACAGCGCCGCCCCTCGCGGCCCCGCGAGGCTCCGGACGAATCGGGAGCGACGCGCGGCTGCGGTGCCGGTACGCGGGGAGGGCCGGGCCAGGCCGGGCGGGCTCCGGGGGGCACGGGAGGCGGTTGGGTGCTCCCGGCGCGGGGAGGGGGGGGCGCCGGGCCTTCGAGGAGCAGGCACGGCCGGGGCACATCGCCGGGAAGGGGGCCGGGAGCTCGGAGCGCCGCCGTCCTGGCGGGAACACGCGGGGAGCGGCCGGAGCCCTCGCAGCGCCTGTGCCCGACAGCCCCAGAAAGCCCGGCCCGGCCCGGCCCGGGCAGCCGCAGCAGCCCGGGGGGTGCGCTGGAAAGGCGGGTGCTTGGCTCCGAAAATAGTCTGTCTGACAGCAAACGAGGTAATGACGGAGTGTGCCCTGCGGCGGGACGGGGAGCAATGGCCCTAAACTAAAACACAAGGAGTTCCACCTCAACAGGAGGGAGAACTTTGCACTGAGGGTGGCAGAGCCCTGAACAGCTGCCCAGGCAGGGTGTGGAGTCTCCTCTCTGGGGACATTCAAACCCTCCTGGACGTGTCCCTGTGTCACCTGCTCCAGGTGCCCCTGCCCGGGCAGGGGGTGGGACCGGGGGGTCTCCAGAGGGCCCTTCCAACCCTGACCTGGGATTCTGTGAATATTAGAGGACTCGACTGTTTAAATGCCAGGTTCACTTGATGATGTAAATGAAAAGTTGAGATTGATTTCCATGTATTAAAGTGTTGAAGGCCAACTGCAGTGTTCAGCATGGCAGTCTTGGTGTGCCTGGGAAGGCAGGCTAAAGGACAGTAACTCTGTAAGAGTAAAGGACTGCTTGACTTCACTGATAGGCTTTAATGTTTTCTTCTCTGCTGTTTATCTTGGTTGAACCTTGGCATGTTACCTTATATACCTCATTCAATATCTTTTTTTTCTTTTTTTTTTTTCTTGAAGACACATTAGAGGATTACAGATGGAAAATGCAAAGCCGAGGAAAACCTTCTAAGTATTACAGAATAAAGAAATAGGGCTAGAATGGAGTTGTCTGTGCTGTGTAAATGCTGTGAAGTTTTGTAATGGCAGAAATTAGGTCTTCAGGAATCAAAAGATCCCAAATAAGTTTGTCACTCAGTAAAAGTAAGAAGAAAAAAGGAACACCATCTGTACCTTCAACATCCTCCTCTATTACTTCCTTTTTTAATAATGTTCCCCCTGCCAAAATTAGCTGTCCCATGTGTGGGCAGTTGGTGCCAAGGTATGGAATAAATGAGCACTTGGATGAAACATGTCAGAGAAACCACGGTGAGATTGGTGCCGTTGGTGCTACACTGGACCCTCTGAAGAGTAAGAGTCCCCCACCTGCAAACGTGACCAATGATTCCAGCTCATACTTTTCAAAAAACATCCTAAATCTAGAAACAAGTCCCTCCAAAAGCAATTCACTGAAAGCAGAACAATCAGCACAACAGATTAGTCCTTATTTTAGCCGTAACAGCTCAGTCATTGGTGTTAACAATGAATCACAGGCTCAAACAGGTAAAACGGTCTCTTTGGGAAGCTTGTCATCAAAACTGTCCAGAAGACGTTGTGCCCAGGGAGGAAAACAGGTCGTGTATACAGAGATTGACTCTGCACCTCCGGCTGTTCACAGAGTGTGTAGAAATGCTGCAGCAAAGGAGGATGATGATGATGATGATGTTTATGCTGGGCACAGTTCTCAGAAAGAAAATCAGCTTGTGCAGAGAGAGCACCAGGAACAAAACATTTCAAAGAGAAAACCTGAATTTCAAAAAGAAATAAACCAATGTAATCAAGAAGACCTTGTGGATATAGTTCAGGTATCTTTACCAGCTGATAATAATGACAAAGGATTCCCAAGTGGTACAAGGAGCACCGAAACAGAAAGCAGGTCTGACGGTGTGACACTTAGTCCTGATAAATCTGAAACACCTCCAGCCATTTATAGTTCACCACAGCTGGCCAGCGACTTGGAAGTCAAGACTCAGCCTCACACCCAAGTTATTCCTTCTTCCAAGACAGAAGTGAGCTGTGATACACAAAACTGCTCCAGTGAGGGTGATGCACAGGTACTTCCTGTGGAAGTTCTTGAAGATCTTAAGAATGAGATGGATTATACTATGGTAGAAACTGTGGGAAAAGTAGAATTTCAGAATCCCACTGGGGACATTTTAGACAAAATAGATGAGGTTCACTCTGTGCCCAGTTCTCCTCATCACCCATACTACCTCCAGAATTTTTTACTAGTGCTGAAAGCAGTCCTAGAGAATGAAGATGACGCCAGGCTGTTTGATGAGCAAGATATGAACATTATAAGCAAGTTCTACAAATTATCAGGTACCTTTTTTTAAAAAATACATTTCCACATTACTGTTGCATAGTTTTATGTGAGTTTTATCTGTGGGCAATTTAACTTTTTCTCAGGAGAGGTGTCCCTCAGTGGCTTCTTGTAAGTAAACTCTCCTAATGTTTAAATGCAAGGTATTGATAAAAAGGGAAGACTTGTAAGGAAGGTCTGTGGGCACGTCTGTAGTGACAGTGGGATGAAGCCAAGTCAGAGAGGAGTCTGGCTGGGCACTGATGTGCCACACAGAGCTCAGGCCACCAGTCTGGGCTCAGGGACAGCTCCTGAGAGAATGGAGGGGGTTCCTGACAAAGCCTCCCCCAGCCTGCCCAGCAGATCCTTGGACACAGCAGCCAAACCTCTGGGGCTGGGCTGCGGCTGCAGAGCCTGTGGGTGCACTCCAGGCCACGAGAATGTCACCAGAGTAACATCTTGGGGCTCGGTAATGCCTTGCTCATGTTGTGATAGTTAAAGGGGGAATATGTAAAGGTGGGAACAGAAGCAGTAAAACTGTTATTATTGGCTCTCTGAGGTGAGCAGTAGGTGCACATCCTCTGCACCCAAAGATCCAGGCATAAACTCACAGTTAGATCACATCATCTGCACCCAAAGATCCAGGCATAAACTCACAGTTAGATCACATCATCTACACCCAAAGATCCAGGCATAAACTCACAGTTAGATCACATCATCTGCACCCAAAGATCCAGGCATAAACTCACAATTAGATCACATCCTCTGCACCCAAAGATCCAGGCATAAACTCACAGTTAGATCACATCCTCTGCACCCAAAGATCCAGGCATAAACTCAGTTAGATGCACATCATCTGCACCCAAAGATCCAGGCATAAACTCACAGTTAGATCACATCATCTGCACCCAAAGATCCAGGCATAAACTCACAGTTAGGTCAGTAGTGTGTGCAGGCTTTGGTTACTTGGACAAATACTAACAGAGGCGTTCAGGATACAGGTTCCTCGTTTCCTCGCTCGCTCCTCTGGGTGGGTGCAACACTGTTTAGTAACAGGAGCTTGTTCTCTTAAATGAGGGAAGTGCTTGTTTCCCTTGCAGCAGTGTGATTTCAGAGTTCCCTTCTCACAGGAGTTTGGAATACAGAAAGAATTACTGCAGAGTGGTGCTGGTAAATCCATGTATGCACTGGATGCCAGGGGCACAGATAAAACAATCTTTCTTTGCAGGGTAGGAAAAACACAAGGATTGAGCTGTGAGAAGTGCTTGGATAGCATTAACTCAATAGATTTAATTCTGGAGAACTGACAGATGGATGTCTTTGCCCTGAAGAAATACCAGACAGAATACTTTAAAAGTACAGGTAGATGTGTTTTCTGTCCCACATTAAAAGTTTCTAACCAAGCAGGTGTTGTCTTTCAGTTATCATAACACAAAAGACCCAACACGTGCCTAGTACTATGGAGTTGCTTCAATATAGGTATTTTCCAGTATTTCATTATTTTCTGCTCAAATGTCTACCATTCTTCAGTGAGAGATCTCTAACTTACTGAAGTTATGAAGATTACTATGAAAGTTTGTGAACTTATTATGAAATGTATAGCACTGCCAGTTTTTTAAGTGCCAGAAACAGTTAGATTTAAGCAGGGAAAAGCAGAGGTGTATCCGTAACAAGTAACCTGCAGTGCAGTGGCAGGCCTTGTGCTCAAGACTGTCTGAAGTTAGGTGTAATATTAAAACCATGATTTTTGTATTTTCCATGTTTAATTTTGCCACAAGGTGCAGCTGCAAGAATTTAAATGCAGGTTCATAGTTCTAGTGACACTAACCTAATACATTCAGTGAAATCCTCCTTTCAGTTCTCATACAGCAGAAATATTGTATCTGAAAAGCATTGATTTATAGTTACCAGTGGAACTGAGGTGCAGAAAACAATTCTTTTCTGTTGCATTTTGATGAATCACAGAGGGCAGACTTTTCTAAGATCTTCTGCGTCTTTTAGCTGGTAATATTTCAACTTAGAGCATATTTTTTATTTCATTAATATACCGAAAACTTTCTTAAGAACCACAAAAGAAAAAAATGTCCCAAACCTCCAAAGGTAATGAAAGCACTTCAGAACAGGGTGCTTAAGAGGCAATTAATGACTTGCACAGTGTCTTTATATTCCAGTCTTTGCCATTCAAAGGCTTTAGAGGGAAGCAGTCCTCACATGCCCTTGCTGAACTGCAGCCCTGCTTTGGTCAGGCCCGAGGTCTGGGGAAAGGATGTTCATGTGTTATCCTTCCTCCTTTCTCCGGAGCTGTGAAAACTGGGAGCCGACTTCAAAGGAGTTCTGATCCCAGAGAGAAAATGCCAGGCTCCTGTGTCTAAATATAGTTCTCCCAGTGAATGATCGTGGAAACATTCCTTTAAAAAAAGGCTGAAAAAGTCTTTCAAGGACAGGAGAGTTGTTAAATAAACATGTCAAGGTTATCTGCTGTTTCTTGAGTATCTCTGGCTCTGGTAGTATTTCAGTGTCTGTTTTTATTAAATATCAGTTTCAGTTAAGCAGCAGACAGGGATAAAAAATTCAGAAGTTAATGAGGGTTGAATTAAGTATTCAAAAGGTTGTTGAATGTAATAACAATAGCTGAACTATTTTCAGCTAAAATTTAATAAGCTATGTTGTTGAATTTCACCACTTTCAGTATTTTAAAAGTCTTTTTAAAGACTTTTTAAAGTCTCTTTAAGAGAACACTTCCCTGATAAAAATAACATGAATAGCAGGGGTTTTTTCTATCGTTTTCAGCAGATGCATTAGTAAAATCAGGCTTATCTTTGAAAAAGTTATTCTGAAGACTGCTAGATGGAGAGGTATTCAGTGATTATGAAATCATTCTGTCAGACTGCAGCTTCTTTTGTTCCCTAGCATGAAATATTTGGTTATTGAGTGACTGTTTAAGAAAGCAGAAAGACCTATTTAATATCACAATATACAGAGTTGAAAAATGAAGTTTGTTCCTATAAAACAAATTATTTCTGAAAGGGTAAGCACGTCAAAATGTATTTTAGCAATGTGCAATACCTACGAAATACATCATAATACTTTTGTACCTACCAAATTTAAATATTCTAATGAGCTTATTGATTGCTTGAGGAGGTAAGTTCTGGTATTTTACCAAGTCTGCTTGTAGAACATGGGGAGATGTGACGTGTTTTAGAGGATGCCTGCCTCAAAGTAGTAATTTCTCTGGTTAAGGCAGTGATTTTGCATAGTGCTGTGTTTAGGATTTACTCTTCATTTTACCCTTCCCTGCTTTAACTCCAATTTGCAGTTGGTGGGCAGAAGTTGTATGTGAGACTTTTCCAACGCAAGCTGCACTGGTTAAAGGTGACCAAAATAGAGTATGGGGAGATAAGTGTGGATTTGTCACCAGTGATTGAAGAACTGGCTGAAGCCAGATTTCTGCAAACAGGTAAGGCCAGCACTGATAAATCTTAAAAACACTACAGATGGAATCTGCAGTTGGGTCACGTTAGAGTTCAGTGCACTGCAGGCTTGTCTGCGCCTTGGGAAGAGTGCTAGAGGAACAGAATGAAGATTTCAGGTAGATGAGTTGGGTTGTGAATAATAAAAATAGTGCAGATTAGGTAATAGGGAAGACAGCCTTTCTGAACAGTGTTTTTTTGGAACTCAGCAGAGTTTTTTTTTGCTTCTGTTTTGAAGTTGTAAAGGGGTGATTTTCTCTGATTCTTCCATACCTTCCACCTGGACCTGTGAAGAGCTCAGGAAGAAGGTCCAGAGGAATTCCAGGGTGAACCAGAGAACACTGACAGCACATTTTGAGGAATTTAAATCAATAGATTAGTACCAAATTATATGAATGTACTGTGACCTGTTGCTTGAGTGTACATGTGTAACACACGTGAATGGATCGGATCACTTTGCTTGTAGAATCTGAACTGGAAGACCTGTGTGAAGGTTTGGATTTGCTTTCAGCCCCTGAACTAAAAGCACTGGCAAAGATCTTTCACTTGGCAAACCCAAATGGTCAGAAACAGCAACTTGTGGATGATTTTCTGAGGTTGGCAAAACAGCGGTCGGTCTTCAGCAGGAGTCAAGCTGGTGTTGGGACAGCGATCCTAAAAAGGTAAATGTTTATAGTTAAATTTTGCACTGCAACAGAGTGGAATCTAGGTGCCTTTTCAAGAGAGAAGTGCATTTAGTAAATTTATTAGTAAAAATGGAAGCATTACATTTTGATTCACAGCAAGTCAAACAGAAGGGTAAATACCAGACTCCTTTTAAAACTATGCCGTGCTTTCAGCTGTGGGCATGATTATCTGTCTGCAAAGTTACTTCGTTATAGAGAGAAGCATTTCTGAACGCTGTAAAGCAGAGTCAGCGCAGAAAACCATCCAGGAAGGTGTGGGAAGGGCCACTCTGTTAAACAACCATCTGCTGTTCGTTTGCTCCGTGAGCTCTTTGGGTGGAATTAGAGGAGACCAATAGTCTGGTTTTGGGGATTGATTGAATACTTTAGCACAGAGCCTCCTGCTGGCAATATTTGAAAGGGAAAAGGATGCTTACCTGTGAAGCGGAATTTTTGCCCCAAAAAGCACAGAGAGACTGCTTTAGAGACGAAGATTTGTTTCCTTAAAGCAGGAGGCATTTTAATGCAACGCGTTGGAGAGTCCCCAGGTCGCCCTGGACAAAGAACTCTGTCGTGTACAATCAGCATAGCTTTTTATACAGTTTTGAGCATAAAATCACATCATAAACATGCATATTCATTAAATTGCAACATCTACTTGTAATATTCATATATAGGCGGAGTCTTCGATTTGGGGAGGTTTAGAGGTGGGAGTTCCTGCAGCCTTCATCATGGGCAGTGGTCGTTTGTTGGTCTTCTTCGTTGTAAACTTTCGAACTTTCCTCAAATCTTTCCCTAATTTGGATAGTTGGCCAGTGTGGTAGGGTCAGGTAGACTTTTGGCTCATCCTAAGATTTGCTGATGTTGCTATCTCTTCATTTTATGCTTTAAATGTTCTATCTTGTCAACATGTTCTGTTCCTCAGACAATTTATTACTTCTTCTGTGGTTTCCTAATGCTAGGGTTTTGAAACTACTTCCACAATTTTGTGTTTGAGGCAACCTCTTGTTTCTCAAAGACTGCCTCAATTGAGTGGCTTCACCTGACAAAAGTGTTTTTTCTGTCCTGGGGATGTTTTCACTGGGGATGTTTTCACTGTGGCTGTCACAGCTGGGTATATCAGATGCCCTTGGCTTCCAGGGCTCCTGGGGTCCAGATTCAGGTTTAGGATGCTGTGCTGCCCTAATAGGAGTGATTAGGGTCTAAACTCGGGAACTGTGGAATTGTAAATTTTATTTATAAATTTATTTATAAATTATAAATTAAAGAATAAATTTTGGGTTGGATAGAAAGCCGGCAGAAATGAGTATGTGCTGCATTTGCTGTGCTAACATCGTTTGTATTTCCTGTGGCACTCTTTTTCAAATGAGAGAGATGTAAAGCTTTGTCAAGTTTTGCATAGCTATGTTTATTGGACAAATATTCCTCTCCCCCCCCCCAAATCTATCATGTGATTTTCCATAAAATTCCTTGTATTAAAAGGAGCCTAGTATTGGAAGAAGAACTTGAAAATCATTCCTCCATGAAGAATTGTTATGCCATGAATCATTCAGGTCTTCTTTCCTTATTTTGTTGTTGTTTTCTCATTCTAATCCAGGCATAGAAAACTTCAGTACGAAAATCCTTAGATTTCCTTTTTCTTCTTTGACACTAGACATTTGAACTATGAGACGATGCATGATGCACAATTTATATAAATATCTCTAACAGAAACAGATTGTTTCCAGAATAGTGTCTTAGAGAAAGGCTAAGAGAATGGAAAGGAACCTGGGAAAATCAGGTACCTTCCAAAAAAGTGCTCAGTGCTGTCTTACTCCCTGCTTCAAGAACAGAGCCTGATCGTAACTTGCTCAGCCACCCCAGCTTTGGGAATGTGTTGCCCTTTGCTGTAGATGACAGCTGAAATGCTGGTTATCCCACGAGGTCACAGAAAATCCAGTTTTAAATCTGTGCTGTCCAGCAGACAAGCAACCAAAGTTTTCTCTTCTATGAAAAGGCTGGTTGAAAACAGGCTACTGAAGGTTCCCTAAAATGATGGATCTCAAATTAGGACCTGTAAATATTCTCTAACAGCAAACCATGTCTTGTTGATTTATGGTGCTGGCTGGCACAGCAACAGGAGTGACTGCACCCAAAGGGCAGTTAGCTCTGATTCTGGAAGTTTGGCCCTCAAATGTTTTATTAGTGAGTGCACTTGGTTGGATTTTCACTGGAGGTTCCATGTACTATGTAGTATCTCTGCTTCTTCCAAGGAAAATCAATTTTATGCACTAGAGACTTAAAAAAGTTTTTTCTTATACTTCACTCGGTATAATTTAGTTTTTACAAGCGATAGTAAAAATCATTTGTTGTAATAACATTGTTTGTCCCTGCAGAGCGAAGGAGCTGGCTGGGAGATGCGTGCGGGTGCGCCGAGGCCCTCGGGCCGTGTTCTGCCGAGCGCTGCTGCTGTTCTCGCTGCCCGAGGCGGGGGAGGACGAGGAGGGCTCTGCAGGGCAGGGCCAGCTCTCCTCGCTGCTCATGGCCAGCATGGGCCGCACGCTCTTCCCCCGCTACACCGTCAGCAGGAGCACCCGGCTCTTCCAGGACAGAGACGACCTCATCAGGTGGGACGGCTTGGGCTGCTTTCTAGGAAAGCTTTGCTGCACCGCTGGTGTAGGCAAGGAAGAACTCATCGTGGGCAACTTCAGATGTAAATACATAGAAGTGTGCTTTTGTAATGGCTTTAAATGCGTTTTGGTATCCAGGTAGGACTTGTAATTCACAGTTCCTTGCCTTTGGATCCAAAATAGCCCCGTTATTTGCTTCAGGATCATCTGCTGATGAAAGCTGTTTCTTCATGTGCTGTGCTGATGATTAGAAGTGGACTCTGAGCTAAACAAGAAATATGTTCTCTAGTTCGTAAGTTTAAACATAATGTGCCCTGCTAGTTCAAACTCTGCTAATCCTACAAGACTAAGGATGATGGCTGCATGATTCAATGTCTCTGGAGACTGGAAGGGAAGGAATTGATTTCTTTTAACTGTAGATGCTTTTTAAGCCCTAAGTTATTGTGTTTTTTCCCCTCAGATATGCAACTGCTGCTCATCTGTTAAGTGACATAGCCACTGCAATGGTAAATGGGCACTGGAAAGAAGCTCATAATCTGTATTTGTGTGCTAAGCAAACCTGGAGAGAACTGAAAAATCACCCCTCTTTAAGGTAGTGAACTGGAAGCTAGCCTAGTGCTCAGAGCAAACTATTAAGTGTATTATCTTACTTTTGGTACTGAGAGAGGCTTATAGACTAAGCCTGATAAATTTAGAGGCTTTAATATTCCTGAAAGCTTTGATCTTCCTGATTGTTTGTTTAGCTTTTAAGTGATAATATGAAAATTATAAAACCTTGGGAATTAATTGCTAGGCATTGATAAAGCATTAAAATATTTCTGGTTTATGTGCAGTGCAGGAGAACAGGAGCCTTATTTTTGCCTTGTTTGTTTTTATGGCTTTCAGACTAATGGCAATAAGCAGAATTTAAAATTCACTGTGAACAAAACGATGTTGCAAGCATTATGGGAACACATACTGGGTTATTCACATCTTTAGACTTCCAAGTAGAGTCATTCAGGAAATGTTTCTGAATATCTGAAAACTGAAATAAAATGTGTTGGTTTGGAAGCATTCTTCATCAGTTTTTCTTTTAATTATTTTGTTTTCTGGTTTAATGATACACCAGAAATTAAAGCCTTATGTTTGGCATTATGTTCAACTCCATGGCAACTGATTTAAAATAGTATAACCCTTCACAGAAGGTCATTTGGAAGTCTGTTCCATTTCACACTGAAGACAGTGCAAAAATCTATTTTGATTTTAATAAGACATTCAAAAGACTTTGTCTTGAAATATAGAGTTGCCTACTGAAAAGATGTTAGTGGGTTTTTTATGGCAGGAAATTCCCGTTCTAGACTTTTTGTTTTGTTCAGCTGTGTTTCCAAAGATAAACTTTTATGAGAATGATTGGCAGTAACAACACGTGACGTAATAAGTTACTGCTTTGCATCTTAGGCAGAACTGATTAACTAAAAATTCCACTGCTGTGGAATCTCAAATACACCGAGCAAGAGCAGCCTGTTCCCTAAGCTGAACTATTGCTTTACCTTTGGGTTTTTGGCTTGGCAACTGGGATGCTTTAGGTATAACTTAAAGAATTCAAACTGCCATGGTCAGTGATCTGAGCTGCTCTTACTTTTCAGCTATCACAGAGTTCTGCCTGAGTTTCTGCGCCGTTTCACTGTGGGCTGGGTGTACACGAGAATCCTTTCTCACGGTGTGGAAATTCTGCAGAGACTTCACATGTACAAGGTAAAGTGGTGAATAGCAATCTGTGTTTAATGGAGCGTTGTACATCAATTTACTTTTCTGATGTGGCTGGGAAAGAGTGACAATGTTTGCCAGGGATTTCTGTAGTTCTAGTAAGGAAAAGAGCCTTTTCTTTGTGCTGCTTTAGAAAGTTTTAAATTGTTTTGACTTCTGCTTATGCTTTGAAGATTTACCATCTGTAATACACCATAAGACTGTTGCTGAGATATGCTTGTTTAATTATTTAAAGATACCTGTGTTTCACTAGATTTAGTTATTGTTTTTAAGTAAAAAAAATCTCAGAAGAGAAGTCTTCTGAAATCCCTGCCTCTTCACCTTGGGAGCTTACATTCCCAAAGGTCTCTGACTTATATGTTAAAGCAGATCATATTATTCTGAAAAAGACTTTGCTTCTGCAGAAGGGCAACTGGTAATACTCAGATATTTGTCATATACCATAAGGAATACAGAAAAGATAAAAATATTAAATTTTTGGCAGTTAACCTTTAAGTTTACATAAAAAAATCTCTATTCTGAAGTTTTAAAGATAAATCTATGCACCTGAATTGAGTATATTGGGTAGTGGAGTAAAAAGCAGGTGTGAATTGTGCAGATCAAAGTTTTATAGTCTCCATGGATTAGAAGGGGGAGGGACAAGCTAATTTACAGCTGGTGCCGTTGTGCAGGAGGCGGTGCAGGAGCTGCAGGCCCTCCTGTCGCAGGATGTGTACTGTGCTGACAGCAGAGGGAGATGGTGGGATCGCCTGGCTCTCAATCTACATCAGCACCTGAAAAACACCCAGAAGGTATCTGCTGCAGAGCTGAAAACACTGCACTCGCTGTCTGAAAACATGTTTTAAAAATACATTCTTATGAGAGGAACAGTGGAGGAGGATCTCCTAACAGTGTAGATATTGGTAGGAATGCCAAGGTTAAGGCAATCATTTCCTCCTAAGAAAATGAATATTGAGTGTACCTTGTCCTTGCTTGGCCTTGGATGCTGGTTTTTACATTTCTATTTCTGTGCTCCTTAAATGAACTGTTATTGGGCAGACAGGTGTCCGTGGGTCTCTCTAAGCTGCTGCTGGTTCCCTTGCTCTTTGCCAGGCCGTGGGCTGCATTAGGAAGGGGCTGGCAGACCCCTGTGTCCGCACTGGGCACCGCCTGTCCCTGTACCTGCGGGCGCTGCGCATCAGGGACTCGCCCAGCTGCAGGCAGGTGCGGAGGCTGCTGCAGGATCTGCCGGCCATCACCGTGGAGGATGTCACACATGTGAGTACGGGTGCTGCTGGTGTCTGGGGAACTACAGCTCATGGGGTCTTCTTTACTCTTGGCGAGAGAAGATAACTCGGGGGTTCTTGTTACGTGCTGTGCACCAGCCTCTGACCGACTGGTGCTGCAGGAACACGAATGCAAATGTCTTTCTGAAACAAAAGCTTCCTGTGATCAAATACTTCTACACTGCTCAGCTTCTTAGAGTTAGTCAGCTGTACACTGGTTAAATTTGAATTGCTCTGTTTGTGTTATGAGTCTGATCAGCTGTAAACTCCACTGATGTAACAGTGCTCGCTCAGAGCCTTTCTGAGCAGGTCAGTGCATTGTGTCTGGTGTCTGCAGGCCGAGCAGTTTGTGTGTGAGAAACAGTAACAGTGGCCTCCTTAGCATGCTGTCAGCTTTAGATTAATGGCTAAAAAATGCCAGTGTTGTTTCAGTAACCTTTGGAAGGTGTGCACGCTAAATATGTACTATGCAGATATTCAGTGGGGTGTACCTGCATCATATTGGAAGGGATTTTTTTAACTCTTTCTTTTCCATACCATCATAAAGATAATCCTGTCTGGTCAAAGGCAGAGCAGAGCCTCGCTTGTTCTCTCTCCTCACCACATCTCCTCACAGCCCTTCTTTGTGTCAGTGCAGAATCAGTCTCCTCAGCCTTCTGTATTCTTTCCTCCTGGTCCTGCATATAGAAAGGCTGTGTTGCCACCTGCCCAGGATTTTTGCTAGACATTTTTTTCCTGAAAGATTTACCAGTTTATAAAAACTACACAGAATGATTTCACAAGTTATGGCAGGGTAGATTCTATTCAGTTGCTTTTTGGAAACAAGTCTAGTTCTGATTTGAAGAAAACTGAAAAGGAGAAATGTGCTTTTTAGGCAAGATCCAAATAATTAGGCTAAAGCTGTTTAAATATGATGCTGGAAAGTAACCAGATGTTTTAATATGTTCAGGTTACAATCAATGGAAAGATGTGTCCTCAGATGGGAGTGGGAAAGTCTGTGTTTCTCGTGGAGGATGTTGGTGATGAAGAAGGAGGCGAAGGCTGCAGTGTATCCACAATCATGTGCTCAGTTGAGGAGCTGGCATTATCTCATTACAGGAGGACTGGTTTTGATCAGGGTAACAGCAACATTTGTTTGGGCATTTTACAGGAAAATAACTGTGGGAGTAAAGAACCTCTTTCCTAATGAGTTTAGTTAATAGATCAGTTTTAGCTGATTTCATTAGACCAGTTTTTAGTCTGATTCTGTTTTCTACCCAAATGCCTCTAATACATCATTTCCTTACCAAAATGCTCTAACATGTATTTTCAAACCAACCTGATTCCTGACCTTAAGCTTTGGTACCCTCAGGTACCAAAGGTGGTTTTTAAATGTGCTTTTCTTTTTTATCTCCATAGAAAATCACTTACTTTGCCCTCCTTACCAGTGAACAGCTGTTTTATTTATTAAGGGTAAAATGTTGTTTAAGGGGGTGTCACTAAGGAAAACTGATTTTTGGTACTAGATGAACATGAAAATAGTCTATACCACTAGCAAGACACTTGGCAATTTTTTTGAAGGCTCTCTTAGTAGTTGTTCCTATATTTTTACAACTTAGGAGCTGTGAAAAGCCATGGACAAGTAAGAATATATAGATCTGTTTTACAGGAAAAAAAGCAATATGCTAACAGGTAGGCAGGTTATTTTTTAAGATAAAATTTATATCTTTATATAAAATATATATTTTAATATAGTTTTATATTATTGATGTGTTCCAAAATACTATTGCAGGAAAAGTGGCCATATCAGAACAGGGTAAATGAGAAGGTGACAATATTTAGAATTTAGAAGAGTTGTGCTGAAATACCCTCTCAGTTCCTCACTCCCACCCTCTCACCGTCGATCTCTGTGGCTCAGCACAGTTTTGAGCACACGGTGGCCGTGTGGGATTTGGTGAACCAGAATGCCCAGTCCAGCATTCACCTTCACAGTGAAAAATGGTTTTCTAGTATTTCTATTATATTTCTATTATAGTTCTATTATTTCTATATATTTTATATAAATATATATATGTATATCTGTGTGTTTTATATATATATATATTCATAAATATATGTGTGTCCCTATGTTTAGTAAGTGACAGGGATGAAAAAAAGAAGGATGATGGAAAAACAGTCAGCTCTACCAGACTAATGCTCAACCAGTATGACTCAAAAATTTTATATATGGAGAAAAAAGTGTTGTATAAAAATGGGGTACACTACATATATACACACTTGTATATACACATGTATGTGTACATACACACACACACGTGTCCAGGCACAGGTGTGTATATGTATATATATTTATGTAAATGTAGTTTGATATCTCCAGACATTTGGGTTCTCGTGTATTGCATTGTGTGTTCCCTGGCCGGGCATTTCTGTGCTGGGGAGTGCTTTTTCCAGCACACGTGGATGTGCCCATGGAAGAGCACATGTCTGCATCCCTGGATATGCACAGCTCCATCTAGTGCATGTGTGGATGTGTGGTATATAGATAGAGTGGATAATATATAGCATTATATAATATAGAATTATATAATATATTAAATATATAATATAATATTATATAGAATAATATTTTATATAATATATTTATATAATGGATAATATACAGCATTTCTATCTATATGAGCCTTTTGCTTTTTAATGTTACAAAAGTGGTGTATTTAAAAATTGTCCAAGTAAGCCTTGTTGTGGACGGGCAGAGCTGCAGCCCTTCCTGGCCAGGCAGCAGCGGGCGTTGGCAGAGGGGCAGGGCTATAAAGTGCATTTCTGGTGTTCTGCTGCAATGGAACCTGCCCGTGGTGTGCTCCTGCTTTGGGTCGGGGGGGTTCAGACTTCCCCAGATTGCTGTGGAAATTGACCTTTCATCAGGGATGAAAATTGATTTTTATTGAATTTTGCCCTTTAGGTATTCACGGGGAAGGCTCAACGTTTCTTACACTGTATGGGATTCTAATGTGGGATATCATTTTCATGGATGACATACCCGACGTTTTCAGAAATTCCTATCAGGTAACTTTGAAAGGCTTTCTGTAATTGCTGTATTTACCCATTGCTGCAGACTCAGTGACCACGTTAACTTATGTGGGGTTGGATTAGCATTTTATTCTGCGGGAATTTCCAAGCAGATCTTGGTGTTTCCTTCATTTTATTATTTGTTCTGTTTGGTTTATTACTGAGTAACCCTCAGTAACTTAATAGCTGTGTCAGTCTGGGTTCACAGTCAGATTGGGTGGGATTCCTGTGGTTAAATGCTAGTGTCCTACCATGTTTATGCTTTTGGGACAAAGCAACAATCAAGAAAACAACACTACATGTTCCCCCCAGCAACAGCTGCCTGCCACACCCTAAGATTAATGATTCCAGGTGAACTTGTGGCTTTTAGCTGAGTGCTTTACATGCCACAAATTACAGCCAGAAAGGTTTAATAACTGTGATTAGAAAACTCGATCACTTGGTGACATTTGCTAAGAAAACCCTAAAAGTCCATCTCAAATATTACAGAATTAAAAAAGACCAGACAATTGTCTTCTTTCTTCCATCTTAACTCATTACTTCTAGTTGAATTCCTGGCCAAGAGGGAGACCAGACAATGCTGTTCTCTTCCTTAACTGGATTTATTTGTACTGCAAGAAATTATAATTTTAAATCGGTTTGAGATACCTTAGGTAGAAAATTCTTATTTTAGAGGTGCAAGATATGGGTTATTCTTGTCTGCCCCCCTCCTACTTTGTTATTTGTCTTCAGCAGTCTGAGGTAGGAGTAGAAATCCTTGTGACTGAGCTGAAAAGCAGCAGGCTCACAGACAGGCACGAAGGGCACTGCTGGAGCCCCAAAGGCCTTACAACAACTGTGCCGTGGAATTCTAAAATGGCTCCTTCTGTGGAGGATCTGCTGGTCTTGTCAGGTGCTGCAGCTGTATGAATGTTGTGTTAAAAGCAGGTGTTTTTGTCAGTGCAAACTACCATTTACTGCAGAGCTTGCCTGTCTAAATACATTTCCTTTCATACAATCTTATCTGCATATTATACTTAAAAAAAAGACAAAAACCCACACCCCCAAAACTTGGGTGTTCATGTGTTTATTACAAACCCAGTACTTACAGGTCACTTGCACATTTATTTTTTTAACTAGTTTTTCCTTATTAATTCAGAAAAGCTGGCCCAGCACTCAGGTACTGCCTGTCCCAGCAGTGTTCAAACCTGAACTGCTGCAAGGCCTTTACACTCTGGGGGGTTCAGAATTGGGTGTTAAAATGTGATTTATAAATGTTTATGTGGTGGACACGTTCAAGTTAGATCAATGTTTGAGGGAATTTGTAGTTAAGAAGAAAAGTATGAAGTAGGGCATTGTCGTTCTGGGAATGCTGCTGTGCTGGCAGCTCCTCAGAGCTGCATTTACCTTTTCCCACAGACAGCCCCCCTGGATTTGTACACTGACAGCTTCTACGAGAGCAGGAGGGATGCCATTGAGGCCAGGCTGCAGCAGCTCCACTCAGCCTCCTCAGAGACACTGGCAGAGTTGGTTGCTGATGTCTGGACCGCTCAGGAGGGAAAAGCAGCAGCACTCGTGAGCTGGGGGCGTTTTATTTCCCTCCAGCAAGCCCAGGTCAGTGATTGTTGCCCAGCATGGGGCCTCTGATTGGGGTTGGCATTCGATCACACATGGCCCTGGTGTGTCACAGGTGGCACTGAGGCACTGTGAGGGGGGGAGTGGTGGGAGGGAGGAGCTGGGAACAGGGAGGCTCGTGCTGAAGTCCCTGCACAAGTAGTGTTACAGTTTTCTGATATGGTCACTGTTCCTGGGAACACAGCAGGAAATTGCTGTAGAAAACATCTACTTATGTTTCCTGTTCCACCAGACTAAACAAAAAGCTGAGCTGGGCCATACAATAGTCTTGTGAGGGTTGGGAAATGGCTCTGCAGGAGATTAAATTCAAATCCAGCCTCTCTTGCAGAGCCTGGTGTCCTGCCTTGGGGGAACGTTCCTGAGCGGGGTTTTCAGGCGCCTCTCCACAGACCTGCGCCACTGCCGGGGGGGCCTGCCCGACCTGGTGGTGTGGAGCACACACACCCAGCACTTCAAGGTACGTTGGGAGGGCACGAAATGCTGGGCACTGCCAGCTGTCAGCCCATCCAAGCTGTGCCTTCCTGCTGGGGTGCAGTTAGAGCTGCTGCGGGGCTGCCAGCAGCCACGGCCAGCTGACGATCTGCTGTTTCAGCACACTGTGCTGCAGCTTTGTGGGCATAATCAGAATCAGCAGGAATACACACTGGCTGTGTGGGTGTGGAATAGGTTTTTGATTAAAATTAATGTGAAGCGCTGTTATCAGTCAGTCATACACACGCTGACTGCAGTTAGCAAGGGGTTTGACTGGCACCACTTAAAACCTGTTTGAGTCTTCAACAACTGTGTCTGGGTCTGCCACAAAAACCGAGTAAACGGTCGTGGTTGGTGTTTTGCGTGGTAGAGGAATAGGTACTAGAAGACTACTGGACATCTCACCTGCTGAAGCAACTTATGTTTTTGTAAAAGAGAGCTGAACAGCAGAAATTAGTTCTCTGGAACACCTGAGTAAGTTGTGTCAGGATCAGCTGGAACAGGTGAGGTTGCACTTGATTTTTGAGTAGGAGAGCTCTTCATTCATCAGGGCCTCAGTGTTTTGGTGGATATTTACTATGTAGCAGCCATAAAAGAATATGATTGTGTGGGACTGATGCTGCAGTTCCTGCACAGGCAGGGTGGTAACCGTGCCGTTTGCTCGCAGCTGGTGGAGGTGAAGGGCCCCAAGGACCGCCTGTCGCACAAGCAGATGCTCTGGCTGAGCGAGCTGCAGCGCCTGGGAGCGGCGGTGGAGGTGTGCCACGTGCAGGCCGTGGGGGGAAAGAGCCAGCGCCTCAGCTGACACACAGGTTTGGTGGGGGGTGACGCACCACTGCTGCTCATTAAAAGTAGTTGCTTCTAAAATTCTGGCCCTCTGGAACATTACTGTGTCCTTTTCAGCACAAAGTGTACCCCCCTGGCCTTTGAGAACACTGGGATTCACTGCATGCACTTGGGGTTCAGAAGGGCAGAGCCTTTCTCTTCTATCCACAATTCAAAACTCATTCTGTGAGAGGCAATCCGGGGGTTTGCCCAGTGGATATATAAATTCAGTATAAAATCTGGGGCATCAAGTCCTGGTGGTTTCTGTTGTGCCTGGTGGCTCAGATTTGTCATGGTGTGCATTTCCTTGCACAGCACCTTTACAGGAGTGTCAGGTTCTCTCCCTGCCCCCACTCAGTACCAGGGGTTTGAATTTTGCACTTGAATTTAAAAAGTCCAGGTGCTCAGTGCTGGCAGAGAGCAAGGCATAAAACTGCACTGCTGTTTTAATGCACTGCTCTGCATGAAAGGATAATTTATTTAACAGCCCTCTCCTGTGAGTATCTGTGTTAGCTGTGCAAAGGGAGTGGTTCTGGTAGAGACGGGAGTTGGTCAGTGCCAACATGACCACACTCCTTTGCACTCATTACAGTCAGTTTTACCCCACATTAATCGATGTGTTTGCTCACTCAGAAATATGTCAGTCACTTGGAACAGAATTAAAAATATTATTTCCCTTTTAGGACACCAGAATCCTGCAGGTTTCTCTCACTTTTAACACACAGGCAACATCTTTTCTGTGGTCTTCATTGTCATACTGAGTTAAGTAAGTTTTCCTGCTATCAGAAATTCTGCTTACCATGCAAACAGCAGACACTGTAAGAGAATATAGCAAGGAATAAAGATAATTTGCAAATTATTATTATTATTAATCACCTTTCTTCAGCACAGTGTCCCTGCTTTTCTGGGAAAAAAACAAACACCCTTCATTTTTTTTTTGTTAGAAGAAGTGAAAGAAAACCACCTGAAATTCGCTGTGGAAAGGTATGAACTTTTATTGACTCTAATTTACTTCACATTCACAACTCAGCATCAGGATTTTATCATCTTCCTGCCACTGCTATTTTACTCAGTAAATCATTATCAGGCACAAAGGTTTTAGTTTCAGTTGAAATGGTGAACTCTAAACCATCACAGCAACAGCATTAGAAATCTACTGCCTACACCAATTTGAGGTACAGATTTCTGTCTCTTTGTTAGAGGCAAATTTAAGATTTCATCCTTTGCTTAAATATATGTTAGAATTTTTTTGGTTTTAATGTTTTTCCCTCTGAGAGTAACCAAAGCATTTGCCCAACTTGCTACATGTTCATAAAAATAGAAGGCAGTTCTAGCAGAGTGGTCCTGCAGGCAGGGCACATTAAACACCTGGGCAGACACACAAACACAGCCCTCCTGCACCTCTGGAGGGAAAGCCACGTCTCTGCTCCAGTAAGGGAGGACAAAGGTACCACCACAGTCACACACTTTGCCTCAGCTCCACCTCGCAGGAACCGAGCTCATGAAACCCCCTCAGCTCCCGAGCTCCCTCTGGGGTTTCCAGGGTGGTACAAAGCCTTGGCACAGCAGGAACAGCTGAAATAATGCAGCTTTTCCAAAAACAGACAAAAAAAGATGAGCTTCTTGGTAGCTTTTCTATTCCTGCAACACCAAAATGGCATCACCAGTATCTTGTTCTAAACGGTGAACAGAAATTAAAATCTGGAAATGTGTACATATATATATACACACACACACATATATATATATATACACACTTGCATGTCAGTATTCTGTACACAAACATTAAAGACAGACACCTACTCAGACCCCAAAATTGCTTTTGAGAGTTATTAGAGCAGTTCCTACTGATTTTATAAGGCAACTGTGCAGTGGAGGATATTTCAGAATTAACATTTAGTACCTGTCGTTGAAAAGTAAATTAAAAGGTGTTAAGATGAGTAACTTAGGAGGAGGAGCCACCACCCCGAGGCCCACACTCTCACACACACACACACTCACACACTCACACTCACACACACACAGCAGCTGCCAGGCAAGGCCCTGGACAGCAGGAACACAACCCTGTCCACCTGTGCAGGAGGTGCCCCCTCTCAGCCTCTGCTTACCTGACTCCCCTTTTTGAATGGTAGAAAATGTCTTTTTAAGTCTGTTTGGCAAATACAAATTTCAACGGGTTTTGTTTATTTTAAAGGCATATTATTTTTTAACCCCCTCCCATGCTATATATATAAAATACAAAGAACCTCTGCAGCATCTGTACACATCTTAGAACTGAAATGTAAAAATGTCTGTAATTTCCTTATAAAAGACAATTCTGTTTAAATATAGTACCCATTTTTTCCCCCAAAGGGTACTAGCCTTAATTTTTTTTTTTTAATTCCACCAGCTGCTTTTGTGGAGTATTTATTTACACATTTTTGGTACCTTTAAACCAAAGTTATACTTTTAAAGACAAAAAAAATATATATATATAGTCAACTGTCATTTAAAAGAAAAAAAACTGGTACCAAAAGATACTAAGCACACAGGTTGAGGTCTGTTATCAGGTCAAGTATCAGGCCAGGGAAAGCAGTGAGCTAATGGGAAAAAGGAAATCACAAAAGCAAACTAATCCAAATGTGTGAATAATGAGCTGAACAGTGAGATGACTGTTCCAGCAAGCGTGGAGATAAACACAACTGGTTTGTGGACCATGGAACGTGTTCAGCCCATCTTGCAGCAGAATTGGGCAGTTGAGGCCAAACGCGTTTTTTCCCCACAAACAGTCGAGCAGAAGGGTCTGGCTTTGTGTGACAGCAGCCCCGTGCCCACCTGCAGACACCTCTGTGCCCCCACACACAGCTTGGCACAACTTCTGCTCCTGCAGCCCCTGCAGCACCACCACCACCCCTTGAGGGGCTCCCAGCACTGACTGAGCCCTCCTTTCTGGAGCCCAGCCTGGCCCAAGGGGGTTCTGCTGAAAGCTGCTTCATCCTGCAGAAAATGAGATGCTGGGCAGGGGTGCAGTGCTGAGGAGTTGGGGTGCCTGTATAAAAAAGTGAGACTCTCACCTGGACCGCTGCTGTTTCCAGAAATGGAGAGGGGGAGGCAGGGGATGGAACAAGAACTCACCACAACCATCTCTTGTGAAGAGCTGGGGGTGTCAGCTGCATTAATCTCGCTACTGTGTCCTCCCAATTAAAGGCACTTCTAAAGCTACTACAATACCACATCTACAGTAATATTTTAAGGTTAACAGTGCATTGTCCTGACCTGGATTTCTACCGTCTGAAGTCAAGCTCATGACAAGGAGCACAAATCTGACTAATTGTTAATGAACACGTTCTGTGGAAAGAAAAGGGAACAGCCTGTCCCGTGGACACACACTGCATCAGCAGATGTGTAGGGGGACAAGTCACAGAACACGAGTGTGTTTGTATTTATGCATGAAACTATTCTTCCTGAAGAGGCAGGCTGACAAAATTGTATGTTCCCAGATTTCAGCTGTCATTTCGTGTCCATTGCACTGCTTTGGCTTTCCAAGCTGCTTTCTCAAAGGGTCGTGTCAGTCACTGTCTGGGAAAAAAGGATATTCAAGCAGAACCCACATCAATGACCACACCAAGCCTCTCAATTAGCTAACAAAGCCCTCCATCGCATGTAAAGAGCCAAACCCCAAAGGACAGGAGGAATTAGGGACCAGAAGCCCCAGCAGAGGAGAACTCCTGAAGACAAAATTGTGCGATTTGAAGCATGACTTGCCTTGCTTTTAAATATTTGTGCAAAACTTACGTAAGGTTTGTATATAAAAATTATTACAGCTTTCAATGCCGCATTTAGCAGTGTTAATTTAGAAAAGACAAAATGATATGCTGTATTCTCCTCAGACCTTTAAATCACCACATCACCTCAGTCTTCGTTTGCCAGCGTCTCAGTGGACAGCCAGATTTTGGCACCACTCAAAAATTTGCTTAACGGTGTTCCCAGAATGCTCCGTCTGCAAAGGTTCCCGACAGGAGAAAAGGGGAATGAGGAGGAGAGAAAGTCTGGGGCGCCCGAGGTGTCGTTGAAACCACCGGCTCTGAAGTACATCCTGCTGTGATCCAGTTCCGTGCAGGGGCCCCGCAAGGAGGAGTTGCTTTTGTAGTGCCGCAGGTTCCGGCTGAGCGTGTCCACTTCATCCACCAGCACAGACACCCTGTGGAAGGCGGCGATGGAGCCGCCGTGGCTGATCTGGGCCTCGGGAACCCAGCGGAAGTAGCAGAGTTTCCACAGTTTGATTTGTGTGGCAGAGAGGTGGGGCAGGATCAGGCCGTGCAGGTCCACTGGCTTTGCAAACCAGTCCCTGAAGAACTGCTCCCTGCTGTGGCTCGGGCTCTCCGCTGTCTGGAAAAGGTCCGGTTTCAGTTTCAGGATCAGAGAGTTTCTCCTTGGAAGGAACTCCTGCTCCCCGATGATCCCGTTCTTTAGTGCTGGGGGGGCACCTCGCAGGGTGGAGCTGTAGTTTTTCTGCAGAAGAGAAATAGTGGTAATTTTCCAGTTCGACACTCCTTTGAATAGCAGATCTCCCTGAGCTGCCAGGGTGCATCACCCAGAGAAACGCTGCGACCTTCACACAGTTCTGAGCTAGTGAGGCACTACTGCAGGGCTCCCAGGGCAAACTGTGGCCACTGGTGGCCTTACAAAAGAAATACATATGTTTTGTAGAAACAAATGATGTAGAATCAGAATTTACTGAAAATACTGACAACCCTGGGGGGAAAAAGTGGCATGCCATCACTTTTCCATAGGTGAGATGATGCAAGTGTTGGCAGTGAGCTCAGTCACATCAGAAAATGTTCCAGAACACAAGGCTGGACAATTCACATCTGTGGCTCTGCAGAGAACCATTTGTGTCAGCTGGGAAGCCAAGGAAATGGAGGCTCCTGCTGTTAAACCTGCAGTGTAACACGCTCTGTGCCTGCAGCTCTCCCAGCAGGAGCCCCTGGGGGTGCCCAGCCCTGCCCTGCCCACGGAGCTGTTACCTTGGAGCGTTTGAAGGATTTCCTGGCCCCGTTGGTCACACACGGCGCGCTCTTGCCCACGTACAGGGGGTTGTGGAACAGCAGGCGGTCCCGGGGGGAGAACTGCAGAGACCAGTCCCAAACACAGGGGAACCTGAGGCCTTTCTCACCACCCAGCTGGATGTTCTTGCTTATAGCGAATTCCTGCAGGGAGTTAACAGTGAGGGACATCACTCAGAGGCAGCTGGAGAGAACAGCTGTGCCCTGCTCTCATTTGGGCAGTTACATTGTTTGTTTGCTTACTCTTAACCCCCAAACTGTGATTCTGAGAAAATACCGAGCCTCTCAATGCTCTAATTCTTTGTAAGGTGGCTACCTAAAACTTTAAAGGGAAAATATTTAACAAAAAAAGTATGTTTCACTTTTATCAACCATCAAATGTTTTCTACACACAGTTCTGTTCAGTTTTCAAAAACAAATTGTGTCCAGTCTCCTAAGTGTTTTCATTGCAAATTGCCATCTGAACTTTATGCAGTGTTTCCAACTTTTTCAACTATTTAAACAATTATGTCAAGAGATTTCAAAGTTTGCCTGAAGCGTGAAATTCTGTTTATTGCCTGTCATTCTACTGCATCAGTTCCAGATATAGATTTGCTTCCTAGAGGAATACAAATAATAATGTACAATAGCAATGCTTTCCTAGGGAAAAAAAAATGAAATTCAAGAGACTTTCTTCTTGAAGAGTTCCTGTCTCTGCAGAGATCACCTGAAAGGACACTCTGATCATCTTCCCCTGGGGACCTCAATGTCTTGCCCAAACAGAGTGTGACATTTTGAAGCAGCTGAGGAGCAGCTGAGCTGGGGTGATGTTGTGCCAGAGGGGCACAGAGGTGCCTCCCCGCAGGGCAGGGGAGGAGTGGCACTCACAGTGCTCTCCTTGACGCGCTGGTGGGGGCAGTTGAAGAGGAAGGTGCCGAAGAGCGAGATGCGGGCGCTGTCGTGCAGCAGGGTCAGGTACACCTCGGAGAACTCGAAGGCTGCTGGGTACTGCTCCAGCAGCTGCCACACGCAGTCCAGAAACATCAGGAACAAGGGCGACTGGCAAGAGAAGCAGGGGATTATGAGATTTATCAAAGGTTTCTCCCAGATCATACTGATTTATTTGCAGTTATTGCTCCGGTAGGGTATTTAGCTGTATCTCTGCTACATTACTCAACAGGGTAAACTATTTGCAGTCTTGTATTTTTTATGGCTCTATGCAGCTATAACACCCCGTATTCCTGTTCAGCCACTTGCTTTCTCAGAACTACCTTTGCACAGCTTTCCCTTCTGTCTTCTTTCCTGGGTTCCCTTCATGCTTATGTAGCTACAGAAATACTTCTGCCACCTGGATGTCCCTCATCATTTCCAAATTAGAGTTTGTATGGGCCTTCCTTACCTCTTGGCTTTGTATTTACAATATCTATACTTCCTTCCTGTTTAAAGTGACTGGAGAGCTCATGATTCAGCCATGTTAACTTCCCACTACATCTGTGAGCTCTTTCCATAGCAGCCCATGAATGGCAAAAGCATAACCCGTCATTTATGTAAAGCTTTAGAAGCATTTTCCTCTTCCCAGCTTCATTCTTTGGTATGTCCCTTCCAAGGGTCAAAATATCAGCTTTCTCACTATTTCCCTCTGGGCATTTCAGTTTCTTTCTCCCTTCCCTCTCAGTGCTCCCTGGCCTTGGTTTGCTGGGAATGAAGCCCTGCACCACCCTCTGTTGATCCCCCTGGAGCTGTGCCAGCTCTGGGCCTGCAGTGCCTCTGCACAGCTCAGAGCTTTGAGGGCTGAACAGGGATCAGAGCAGAGACTGCTGGTACGACAAACAAAAGCAAAACCACCCCCTGTAAACCCACTCCTCACCTCCTTTTATTTTAATTTTAAAGGTGAGCTGTGCTGGTGTTTGTAACAGTGGGAAGTTTTCATGTGGAACACTGAAGCAACATAAAAATCCATTTGACTGCACCTGGGGTTTCACTGATTCTCACATGGCTACACAGGATAAAGAAAAGGGATCTCTACTCTGGGCAAAAACTTATTTTCACTGACATTATTTTAATGAGATTTCAAAGTATTAAAATGTATTTTTACTTCTAGATTTCTGTATAAATAAGTGTCCAGGATGATCTCTACCAGATACTGTTATTACGTGCAAATATAACTCATTTTTACCTCTTTGTCAGATCTCTTTAAGTGGTTGAACCTGTCTAAAAACTGATATCCTGCCATGACCCATTCCTTCTGTATTAAGCTTTGAAATCCAACAATTGTTCGAAAATAGGGATCCAGCATGACTTGGATGAGAGAAGCAGCAAGACAGCTCAGGTCCCGTCCCTCCTCCTCTGTGAATGACAACCAGAATGAACACAACACAGAAGGTACATATGCACATGCACAGAATGAGATCTCTGTAAGGGCAAAAAGAGGCACCTACGTCTAGTGGTTTTATTCTAATTTCTTTGAAAAGATCCTTTTTGTTGCTGTAATTGTTCTCGTAGTTAAAAAAAAAAACTAGAAGAAAAACACTCTTCTTTTTTCTTAAACTGAGGCTCATAGTTTAGAAAGGGTTCTTGCAGTACTCAGCACAACAGTGCATCCACCAAGAACAAAATATTCCTTTGATGCTAAGGACTGTGCTACAGTTCAGACACATAACACAATTATTGTCCTTTCTAGTTCCCCAAATGACTAACATGTTTAGAAGTGAGGGGGTTTATGTATAACGATTACAGCTGATTTTATCTAACTGTTTCTCTCCATTATCTCAGAAATGCTCAGAACTACAGCATGCTGTGTGATGCATTACCTTGCAGAACTACAGAGACGTGCTTGCACTCCATCATATAGACCAGCTCAGCAGAATGCCTAAGGAATGATCTAGACAGGGAAGGAAAGGGATTTAACAGTTAATATAACAGCTTCACACTCGACAAGAAAAGATATTTGGGATATCTATACATCTCTGTATAACTCATACATTAAACCAGAGAATCTTCCAAATGATAGATTGCTTATTGACACTGCTGAAAGCTTTCCCCAGCTCATTAAAACCATCTCATTAGTGGTACAAACCTGATGTACTCTAACCAGCGAGTGTTTTCCAGTGAGGACAGCCACTTCTCCTCGGTTTCTTCAAAAGGCTCTGCAACAGGGAAAGTAATGACATTGCAGAACAACTTCAATAACTGTCCCTGTTAGCCAAATCTATTCGAATTCACTGCATTTCAAGAAAATAACCACCGTGAGAGAAGGCCAGTGCAGCCTACCATTGACACAGAGCTGTTTGAGTTTGATGTGTGCAGCCTGGATTTCCTGGATGCTGGGCAGACACTTGTCCAGGTCGGATTTGTAAACATCACTCCTCAGGGGATGGCTCCGAGTTATTGCATTACAAATCCTACGGCAGGAAAAGAATCAGCAGGTTTGTTATTTATTTGAAACAGAGGACAGAAAGAGTCTTTCAAGAAATGAGGCACAGCCTTTAACTGCAAACTAGAACCATGTAATACAGGCCCCTAATTCTCAAAAAGAGAAGTTTCCTAGTTGATATCTGGGAGATATATTGCTCCTGCCATAAACCTAATGACTCAGAGATTTTTGGTATGTGCTACTTACAAAAAAAAAAGAAATGGAAATGCTGGAACATTAAACCAATGCATTTGGGAAATGAAAATCTGAGGCTGACTGACAGGTAAATAGCTCTATTCAATTTTTAATTTTCCATCATTTTTAATAAGACTTATCTATGCTAAATAAACAGAACGTACACAAGCTTATGAAGCCAGGAAATCTGACAAGGTTTCAAATAAAACTCAGAGCTGCAGTTCCCACAATGCAGGTGTTTGCACTACTACAGAAAGTCACTCAACAAATTAAACCAAAGAACAAAAAATACCAAGTCAGTAAAGTACTTATGCAAGGCTCAGTCTTTCATCAAGGACAGTGAATGTCAAATATTTCACAGAACTACCAAGTGCACTGTGGCACTAAATCTACAGAACTGTATTTCCCAGTGTTCCCAGTGCCTTGCCGAAGCAGCTCAGAAAATCTCCACCAAGGTAGGCTGTGTAACAGTAAATCTGATCCTTTATCAATAAATCCTGTGGCCTAAAAAATAAACATACCCTAAAATCTGAGAATTTATTCAGTATTTGAAACTGGACCTTGGACAGAAATCGTGCCAGAACTATATTCAGAGAACACTCTCTCAGAAGTCCCCACGCTGCAACACTGCAAAGCAAATACCCTCTCCATGGCCCATCCCTGCTATTTGTTATAGTCACCACTGGTGTTCTCCTGAGCCTCTGATGAGGGAATAACTCAGCTCATCACTTACCTTTGGTCAATCCTTCGCTGCTGCAATACATCTTTAATGTTGGCCATTCTCACGAGGGCACTGCCGTTAGGGTGATTCCAGGACCATAACTGATATGGGCAAAGAAACAGAGGAAACAACAAAATAGTGTAGGTTGGTGTTATTCAGTAGAAATATTTTATTAATGCTACACAGAGCTCTGTTCATTGGCAAACACAGCTTTAAGATCAATATTGTACAGCGATCAAGATCAGTAACAGAATAAAGACAATACTTACTGGCATTCGCCTCCCAATAAAAGAGTAGGAGTACAGCTTAAGGTCCTGATCTGCTAAGGAAGATGGAACCACGAAATATTCTGGAAGGCTTGGGAAAAAAAAAATACGATACAGAAAGGTTACTTTTGCCAGGGTGTTTCCCAGCTTTTCTCCTGTTGCAGTGCTGTGCTCCCAGCTCAGTCACACTGCCCCACAGCAGCCCCTACAGCGCTGTCCCTGCGATGGACGGGCACGGCTCACGGGGAGCTGTTCAGGAACGTGGATTTTCCACAGGGAAGGACAAGAGCACGAGGGCCACAGGTGCCAAAAGATGACATTTCGTTTAATGCCAGGACTTGCAGGATATTCCAGCTGGGGCCTCTCCAGAGAGCACGTCTGTGAGGTGCAGCACACGGGGGTGGGACAGGGGCTGTGGCACAGGAGACAGGACAGGGCAGTGCAATTCCCTTCCCCAGAGTCCCAGAGCAACTCACCAGGTAGAGATCATGTACCCTTCGTTGACTGAGCACACTCTCCACTCGGATGCACCTGTCCTTTTGATTTCTCTGTCCCAGTCAGAGTAGGTTTCAAACAGAGGGGTCTGCTGAGCGCTGCCGATGCCACTGCCACCACCTCCTGGGTCTGTGCCATTCACCTTTGCTAGGAAGAAAAAAGTCATCAATGCACATTAAAAACAAAAAAAAAAAAAAAAAAAAAAAAAAAAATTACCCCCTCACCTTCCTAAGTGCAAGAATGAGCCATTAGCATCGGGACTAATATTACCTATTCTTGCACTACAAGAAAGCAGTGATGTAATGACAGCTTGGTGACACATGAAGATGTGAATGCATTTTTTTCCCTGCAATTTCAATAGAAAACATAAAATTGGTATGCTGTGCTGCTTGATAGAAAGCAAGACACATACTAACACTCAGGAACAAGTGTTATCTCCAGTCACACAATTTCTTTCTTCAATATGCCAAAATTCACAACATTTTAAAAACATGAAGCCTTTACAGACTACCCTTTAATAGGTACCTTCTGAAGAAAGAAAAATAAAACTTATATAATTTCAACAATTTAAATGACTGCTGTATTAACAGCAAATAAAATAAACGGAAGGTCAGGTTAAAATATGTTTTTATACATATATATATATATATATATATATGTTTCTATCCACAAAAAAAGATGGTCTACCATTTTGCAGCAAGGGACCAGGAGTTTCTATAGTTTATTGCTAACACAGAAGGATCTCCTTTGCTGATCATTCTGTAGGTTCCAAGCAGGCAGTCAGCAATGTCAAAGGAAACTGCTTCTTGTTCTTGGCACTTGGAAGTAAATTTTTAGAGGAAAGTGGAATAAACTGAGAAAAGTCTCTCAGCTCCCCCTGAAAGCTCTGATCGTTGGCTGTTCTAGCCTGTAGAGATGCAGGAGCAGCGTCAGGGCTCTGCTGACATCTCACTGACTGCAATTTCTGTATCTACCCATTTCATTCTTGCACTGATCCTCTGACTACTTCTGTTTTTCTGAAGAAAACTGGACTAAAGTGAGAAAGAAGTAGTTCTTCAAAGACAGAAGCAGAGAAATATGATAGTTAACAAAAAGTGTCACAGTTTTCCTGTTCAATAGCAGGATATATAATTATCCAATATAGCCTGGGAAAAAAACGATGTACACCGGAGCAATGCAGGCTCTTTATGTTCCACGGGGAGCACAAAGACAGGATCTCACCTCTTACTTTCCTGGGAGTAGCAGGGACAGAGAGTCATAAAACAGCACTGGAGTTGCAAGAGCAAAGCCAGAGATCTCTGCTACAAACCCCAGAGTTCACAATAACAACAACCCCCCCAACCCAAAAGCATTTCAAACTCCCTTCTGCAGCAGCTGCAGGACAGCAGAACAACCATCCTTTGCCACTCTGGTCTGCTGCTCCAGAGGAACGTTTTTACCCACCTTATGCAATTCTTCCACTAGGTATTGTTCCATTCAGCAATGGTATTTTAAGGACAGAGTAAAGGCAACTTTGTGACAGACTACCATTGTACTGCAATTTTATCTGCAAATTGGCTTCCTCCCTAGTCCTTTGTAACACTAAAGTAGGTGGGAGTTTTAGGAGGTAAGAAATGCTCTGTGTACTTGTGTGTGCAATGTGACCACATGCACAGCTGTGCTGGTGCACAGGGAGTCACGGAGCCACCTGCATGAGGAACATGCATTGCTGGGCCGATGTGAAGGCCTGCTCCCAGAATTCACAACATTCATACTTGGAACAGGCAGATCAGTGGTTTCTGGTGCCAGCTGCTGGGTGACTGTCTCAGTACCACAGAGCTCCAGCAGTGGCACGCTCTCTGAGGGAGGCTTGGCAGGCAGGGCTGAGGCTTTCAGCGGTGTCTGGGCTGGGGAACACTCGCAGTGACCGCACAGCATCGCACTACAAATCAAGTTCCAAAGGAGCTGGTTCAGGCTTACCTAACTGACAGGGTTCAGGTGGAGACTGGCCTTGAGCAGAGAGGGTGTGCTCCAGCTCAGCAGGGGTGGTGGAGGTTTTGAGTGGTAAGAACTGCCTAGAAAGCCTCTAGGAAAGAAGGTTTGGAGTCCCAAGTTGCACAAATCCTCCTGCAATACCACCAGAAGAGAAACTTATTCCCGAAAGAAGGGCAGGTGAACGAGCCTGCCTGATGGGAGATTAACTGGCTACCTACAGCACTGATGCAGACATACAACAGGAAGATGGAAGTGTGGATTGAGAAATAGGAGTAGTCATGCTGACATCGCTACCTTGGCTTTGTTTCAGACAGCAAAGACATTTCTTTTGATTTCTGGTCTTTAATGTCTATCACAATGAGTGACTTACAACCATTATAAGTAAGAAGCTGGGTGCAGAACAAGCTGATTTTGTTACCCCTGGAGAAAGCCTCAAATGCTTTTTGCCACTGGTTCCAGACAGAAGTCTTACTAAAAACACATATTACGAAGTAGGGAAGAAACACAATCAAAGTATTTTCATACTTACCTAGATTATGATACATTTCCCCAACATACTCAAATGCAAAGAGAAGCTGAAGATCTGTTGGCTGAGAATAATGAGCTATTGCAAGGCACACCTAGGAGAGAAACATTTCTGTTATTTAGAGACAAAAAAATTACTGCCCATGAGTGTGCAGAGCTGTTGAAAAGCTAAAAATCAGTCTCCTAGTATTTTATTTCCATATTTTATCTGAGTGAATGTATAGTTGCACATACTGATATTTGTGGCTGAATTTTTGGTAATGGGGGGCTATAGCAATAGTTTTGATTAAAAGCTACTGGAAGCTTTTGCTGTTCTATGGAAAAGCCACTGACAGGCAGCTCCAGGATGGGGTTCCTACTGCTGGCCAATGGTATTGGCTTCTGTGCTAATGTTTAGGAACACAGGAAGAGGAATCCGTGTCGCAGCAGAAATTCCAGCTCGGAGGAGAGCAGAGGACAGGAGAGAGCGATGCAAACTCCAAGGGCAGTGTGGCAGGAGGAGGCAGGAAGAGGCCCAGGAGGCCTCCCTGTCCCCCTGCAGCAGGGGAAGGACTGAAAGCTGAACAGGAAGATTATTGGGGTGAGGAGAACCCCCCTGCAGCTCCTGGAGGAGCCTGCACTGGAGCAGTGGCTGCAGGAGGAGGCTGAGACTCCATGGGAGGCCCAAGATGAAACAGAGTCCTGCTGGAGACCAGACTTCAAATAGAGTCAAACTTCTCCAGTTTCTCTCTCTGTAAATGTAGATAGTCACTAATAGATACAAAAGATTTGACTAAAAGCTCAATATCTAGGAGAATGACACTCAGGAATTTAAAAAATCAAGTAGAGACTGGCTCTGTTATTCTCCAAATTGCAGGACTTGAAGGGGGTCTTGAGCTTTGCCCTCTTCCCTCAGTATCTGCTCCTCCATTTTACTAAAATGAACCTGCCTTCAAAGAAAAGACTTGATGAAAAGAAGGCTACAAACCACAGAACTCTGTTCTACATGTTCAGATACAGATAGTGCATGGGATAGTTTTTAATCAGGGACATAGTACAAGTCCACATTATTATCACCTAAAATTTTTCCTATTTTCTTCCCTCCCTTCAACTTCCCATGACTTTACATATTTGGGAACACAATTACACATTTATTGATGGTGTAGCAGTTTAGGATTCTATTTTTGAAACATATTCTGTGCATCCAAGAAATTGTTTTCTGTTAATGAAGAAAGTTTCCTTGGTGTGATTGCCATAAAAGAAAGCTTTGCACAACAGAACTGCAGAAATAAAGCAGTGGGGCAGAGGGAAAAAGCCCGAGAGCTCAGTTCTGAGGAGCTCTGCATGGAGAACTTGTACTAGCTTGTATGCAATATATATGGCATTATGGAACCTCTGCTGTGTTTCTATATATTTGGCTTTTGATGTGGACATTCCTCGTTCTTTATAAAACCAGTAATGACAACAGACTAACCTGAGCTGAAAATGGTTTTTCACAAACACTCCCCAACAAAAAAAATTCCTCTCAAGTCTTAGAACAACAGTTTCTTTAGCTGTTCTCCCCACACTTTCAGCTCTACAAGGAAACTGCAAAAGCAAACAGAGGACAGAACATTCTGAGGGTGCCAACCCCCCCGAGCACCCAAACAGCACAGGCGTCCCTGGGAAACAGCAGGACTGTCAAATGAACATTTCCAAGCTTATTTCCAGGACTGGGTAACATTTTTAATGACTATCATGAAATAACTGGAAGCCATGCACGTTATTAAATCTTGTGATGGCAGGGTAAAAGCCAAGGCTGAAGAAGCCAGCTATTCAACAATATCTGGCCACTTCTAACAGATTACTTTTGGCTACCACTCAAAATGACACAAAATGGAAATCTCTGTACACACACACTTTTACTTCCATTTTTCTGTGTAGCTTTTCACTACTAACTGATTCTAGCACAGCTACTCCTCATGTTCTCTTATGGAGTGAAAGCTGAAAGCCTTTTACTACCCTGATCCACTCTCAAGGCTTCAGGATGAACTGCAAGACATGAAAAAAATTCCACCGTGCTGCCAAATAACACAATAGAGACACAGTAAAACCTATTTCTGAAAGCAGCAGCTGAAATCTCTGTCATTTACTTGCTACATTTGAAAAAGATGGGAGGGGGTGTGTGCTCTGTTAAGAGGGGTAAAATGGCAGGAGGGGGGACAGGAACCACTCAGATCTGGTTCCCCCAAAAATGACACCATAGCTGTGCTCGTAAACAAAGCAGCAGCTGAGAAATCCCTCCAGGGGTTCAAGAGAACAGAAAAAACACAGCAGGTATTACATATATATATATATATATATATATATATATATATATATATATAAAGCATTAAAGACATCTTAATTTTCCATTTATTCCTCACTAAACCCCCATAGTAGTTTTATAGTCCCAAAGATTCCCAAGACAAGCACATTCCACAGATCTCAGCAGATTATCACTGTAAGTGGAAAGCTCTTACACTGGAAGACAAACATGTTTTACAGGAAGCCTTCTCATATCGAACTGAAAAATGTTTGGTATCCTTGCCAATTTACAATTGTGTAAAGCTCTAGATAGTCAGACAAATAACAAGAGAATGGGCTGCTTGTTGGAAAGTTCACGTATTAAAAGCAGTCAACACAATGGCAGCAGTTATTTCATAGTACAAAGGCCACTTCCCTGTGTCAGTGTCCCCTGCTCAACCCTTATCTGAGAAAAAGAAATGAGAACTTTCAGGGCACACCCTCCACTCCACCAGGAATGTCACCAAGGACAAGAGCTCCAAGGTATTTCCAACGCTCCTGCAGCAGAGTTTTGACCAGTCCTGTTCCAGATGTGCTGAGGGAGCACAGCCCTGCTCCCCTAGGCCAGGCTACCTCTCCTGAGCTCCCTGGAAGGAGCTGCTTTCCTTGGCTCCTGCAGCTCCTATTCCAGCAGACACCTGCAGCAGAAACTCATGCAAGCAGGGCCAGATCAAGTCCCACAAACAGAATTTGTTAATCTTCCTAAGCTGGGAGTCTTCTCAGGAAAACAAGGATTCGGGCAATAAGTCTTCCAGGCCCAACCCTCACACATGTCCTCACAGCTGCAAAACTATGAACTGTCTAACTGAGAACTGCTTTTCCCCCTTCTCTAAGAATTCCCACACCAGCTGTACATAACACTTAGTCTGGTTTGAGCATCAGAAGTCTACACCAGAGGAAACACTACAAAGCTTTCAAAAGCTCAGGTAGATTTTTACACATCAGGATCCTCGTTTGTACAAGAATGTGTCTGAATTCTAAGTACAGGTTTCCTAAGCATTAAGAGAATTATTAAAATACCTCTGTTTTTTCAAATACCTTTTACCTTTGTCCAGAGAAGCTGTGGATGCCCCAGTCCTGGCAGTGTTCAAGGCCAGGTTGGAGGGGCTTGGAGCAACCTGGGCTAGTGGAAGGTGTCCCATGGCAGGGGGATTGGAAGTAGATGAGCTTTAAGGTCCCTTCCAACCAGAACCATTCTGTGCCTTACTTCTGAAATAAGTTTTCTTCACACTCTCCAACCCACTCCCAGACAGTATCTTCCCCTGCATTCCCTGCGTCTTGAGACATTACCAGTTTTGTGATCTGCATAAACAATTACAGCAAGGTAATAGAGTTGGGGAACACATTAGAAAGGGTCAGGACCATTTGGCCAAAACTCTTAAGAGTTTCATATTATTGTTCATAACAATTAGGAAAAAAAAGTTCCCCTCCATCCCAAGTGTTGTGACGTAGGAGAAGGCTGGTTTTGATTGCACAGGAAACAAGATCTGAGATAACTTTCCTTCTGTTTTGATTGAGCATGTGATTCTGAGACTGCTCTCATTTTCATTCAAAAAAGCTTCCTGAAGGAAAAGAACTAAGGGAGTTCCAAAAGAGAAGGGGACTCAGCAAATGGAGATACATTTATGGAGATAGAGGGTGTGTGCCATCCTGGTGCACTGCCAAGATCCATAGGGATGGTGAGGCAACACTCCATCCATCATCTCACAGTCACAACATCTAATGCCTCACCTTTTCAGATTCATTTTCTCAGTCTAATGTCAAGTACTGTAGTGCCTAAAAAATGGCAGAACTTTTCAGTTTGACTGTTTGTTGTCATTTTTTGAACAAAATAATTCCTTTCCTTTAAGGAATGTGAAATGCTTCTTTTTTTGCACTGCCTAACTTAAGACTTCCCCAGCTTGCTTACCCTTACTTCCCCATCCTCCCCTTCCTCCCACACCCATCTGGCTTTCCTTCCTTTGGAGACTCTATAGCTTTATTTTAGAGACAAAACAGAATTAAACTGCTAAACAGTGATGAGTGAAAATTTCCATTCCCTCTATTTTTCCTTAGCTCTTGTCTCCCAAACATCCACTAATAAAAATGAGGAAGAAAATATTTACCTGACTGATTAATGCTGAGATCCTCACAGAGAGCCTTGGAATAATCCCTATTCCAGTAAGGCAGCTTAATTAGCTATTCTCCCTTATGCCCTGTTCAGCAACTAGAGGCATTTCCTGAGGAACAGATGACACTCTCTTTGCCAATACCGATTTATGTCACTGAATGCTGTTGAGTATTTCCAGCACATGCACAGAACTGTGCAAATTACTTAACTGTATAAAGTTAGTATCTGTCCTCTTTGTAACTATTCCATATATTGAAAGCTCATTTTAAACAGTAATTACCGTGTGTATTGTTCTTATATAACTATCGCTCCAAAGGGAACATTTCCTGTCACCTGGCAACAAGTTAGAGACATTTATACTCCCGTAACTTGAAGGGTGTATTTTAGTAGCTAGATACTTCATTTTGACCCACCAGTGCTTTATTTTTAGGATGCTACTCCTCTGTATAATAAGGATGACGTTTCCTTACAACCTGGTCTAATCTTGGTAGCTGTGCTGAGAAAGCTGGACTGGGGGTGGTGTCCACAGCCCCTCCCATCCACAGTCATTCCCTGCCACAACATTCTGCCCCTCAGAGGGCAATGCCCAGCCAGCCCACGAGCAGGATCCCCCTCACATCACAACTCAGTTATACTGTAAGTCTTGGTCTTCCCTACACAAGTTATGCACACCCAGTTATTTCCAAGCAGACAGCTACCAGTGTTCTCAGGCACAAAGAGGTGGATGTAAATATGGATATAAGAGGCCCTGCAGAACTTTAAGGAGGCCTGGTCGCCATCCTTTGTTTTTAAACATCAGGACAACTTTGCTAATAGGTACTACCTGAAGGGCAGAAACAGAAAGCAGATCAAATCTTTCCAGAGTGTGGTGCCAGCATGCCACCTAAATGTCAGAAAGAGCAAGACACCTCCATTCAATATGCTGTGTAAGACCATTCTAGACGTGCTCACCAGCACCCCAAAATAATACAAGCTAAATCCTGATACAGGAAAACTGATCTAAGGACCTCCTGGTTTTAGACATTTATATTTTAAAGCTAACAGATGATGTTATCGACAGAACCTTTTCCCCTTCAGTATAATTGCACTCCTGTGATACACCCACACAAAGCTGCACTAACCTACCTGCTGCATTAAAACCGCAACAGTAGCCACACAGCTGACTTTGTACAAGCTTTATTGGACTCCTCTAATGGGCATATTTCTGATATGGCAGGAGTAACACTTCTGGTCACCACCAGCACAGTGTTTGTAACCACACAGACTCAGATCCTTCTGGATCCCCAGAACAAGCTGTTCTTCCTAGGAACCACCTAAGAACATGTCATTGTAAATGCCTAAAGTAAGTGCCTTCCTAAAAAGGTTTCCCTGTTTGCTCTTGCAGAAGTAAATGCAGCCTGCAAAGCGTTAATGAGATGCTGAGTTTATTCTCTCTTCCTCCCTTGTCCAGGCTAATCACCCTCCTCAGCTGAACAGCCAATTAGACACAGTTGCTGTACAGATCCAGCAGGCCAGGGCTGCTCCAGGGAGAAGTGTTCTGGGAAGCTGTCAAAGGGAACTGAGTGCTGGAAGATTGCCAGATGTGAAAGGTTACAAACAGCCAAGGCAGCGGCAGGGAGGGAACTGCACAACTGGCAAGGCCAGGACAGTGTCTCCAGCACCCATCTCCTGCCCCTGGTCTCAGGGAGGGCAGCGGGGGAAGGAGTGATGGGCTGGCTCAGCAGTCACTGAGCTGGGAACTGCAAACAGACATGCCTGGGCAGATGGTTCTGGGGACTTACAGGGCTCAACTCAAACCTCATCCTACTGACAAGGGGGATTCTCGAGCTCTGAGAGCAAACAGGGTCATTCCTTGCAAAAGGCCAGCTGTGCCATGGAGGCCAGAGGAGCTGGAGCAGCCTGGGGACACGGGAGAGCCAGGGCTGCTCTGCAGACCCCACAGAGCCAGGGCTGCTCTGCAGACCCCACAGAGCCAGGGCTGCTCTGCAGACCCCGGAGAGCCAGGGCTGCTCTGCAGACCCCACAGAGCCAGGGCTGCTCTGCAGACCCCGGAGAGCCAGGGCTGCTCTGCAGACACGGGAGAGCCAGGGCCGCTCTGCAGACCCCACAGAGCCAGGGCTGCTCTGCAGACCCCACAGAGCCAGGGCTGCTCTGCAGACCCCACAGAGCCAGGGCTGCTCTGCAGACACAGGAGAGCCAGGGCTGCTCTGCAGACCCCACAGAGCCAGGGCTGCTCTGCAGGGTGGGCACCTCTGCCAGCACAGCTCTCCCAGGCTGGCACAGCCCCAGCAACCTCACCCCACTCCGGGGAGACTTGCGACAACTGGGGGAACAGGGCAAGGAATGACATTTCTAGGAGGGGACAGGCCCAGGTAACTCCTCTTGTCAACAGGTACACCAGTCTTCTCTGAGAAAATGTGGAGCAAAAGCACAGTTTTACGTAGATTAGACAAGAACTTACTCTGTGAAACCATTAAGGAGGATGTCCCTAAGGCAGTACCCTTACCCTAGTGGGAAACGAGGCTTACAGCTTTCAGAAAACCTATCAAAGTTTCAAACGTTTTCCATAAAAAGGACAAACATCTGTTGTACAGCTGCAATGCAGTATTTGGATTCCAGTCTTTAAAAAGACTTATTTAATAAATTAGATATGAGAAGATACACAGGTTTATCTATTATGATAAGAAAGAGTTCATACATCACATTAAATTTTTTCCCTGAAAATTCTGACTCTAGATATCTAGATATTCTCCTGTAATAGAATGTGATTAATTTGCAATTCTTACCCCCTACCTTGTCTATCATAAGGTAATACAAAATGTTCTTATCTGCACAACTGTTGCTACATGTAATGACTCCAAGGCAGGACATAAGAAGAAGACAATAATACCTTTTTTGCACTTTCGGGTCCTGCCTCATCAAAACGAAATCTGACAATCCGGAAGTCTTTGCAATAAATTATTAATTCAGTTGGATTGAATTTAAGTTTTTGGTTGGGACCCAGGACCTTCTGCTTCCTCTTGGTGTCATTCACTGCAAAGAAGAGACAACATTATTGGCCTGTGTTCTGTAAGTATTCACAAGGCTGGCTCAAACAGACACAGTCATGTTGCTACCACTTTATTTAATAGAATATTTCAATTGAGGTAGAAAGTCTGTTAATTTCTGTTAGTAAAAGCTTGTGCTTCACTAAATTTAGGGTAAATATCACGTTTTTGAAAAGCGGCAACAAATCTGGGCCAGTGCAAGACAATATAACAGGTCAATAGCACCTCTTCAGTTTAAAAAAGCCTTTTCTTCATAATGTGCTTCCTCAGATCCACATTAATCTTTTCACAGCGATCACAACAAACTTGGAGCACTGAAAACTTTTAACTCATGATTTAAACTCCCTGAAGTCAGAAACCCAAGTATTTAACAGCCCATGCCATAAAGAAGATTTGAAGAATTACCACTTTTATGAAATGCTATAATTAAAGAGGAAAAACATTCCTCTTAAGAAATGGGTTAGCCTCAAGAATCCAGCAAATCAGAAACTGGTTCTTCATAACAAATATTTTAATTCTTTAGATTAAGATGTCTACTGTCATTTGCAGATTTTTTAGGACAAGAAGAATTAGACAAGATTGAAAACTACAGCATTTCTGTAGTCAGATATCCCAGCTATGTGTAAATTGTACAAGTGATGTGCTTTTTGCCATTTAGTGTGTTTCAGTGGCAGATTCAGGTGCTTGGATATAAAGAAGTTCCTAACAACATTTTGTACTTCTACAACAGGTGTCTATCCTAGAACACCCATTGATTCAGCACTGTAGTTAAATTCAAAACCAATATAAATACCCAACTAAATAAGTGTCCTGCACGGCACCTCAGGATTTATTCAGTTTTTAAGGGGTTTATCTTAACTTTAAATAACCCAAACTCCTCAAATCAGGGGAAGTTAATAACATAAAATCTTCAGTGCCAACAACTCTGCCCAACTGTCACTGCACACCCCTGCTCTTGCCGTACCTGTGACAATCTGCTCGATGCACGTGAGCGGCACATCGTGTTCTCCCAGGAGGAGGTTCTTAAAGTGGAACTTCTGAAACACAGGAACTCACAGCCATTAGTTGCAGTTCTGCAGTGTGCAGCCAGACATACACAGCACAGCTTTGAAGAAACTATGATAAAAATCAGGCATGCCTGGGCTTTTCTGACGTGCACCAACCACCCCTGCCTATTCACGGGCAATTAGAGGTGGTAGAAGCCTTCTCGTGCTGGTGAACTGCACACCCAACATTTCAGAAACCCCAGCAGAGTGTGCAAATTAACCTCAATATCTGCACTGAATTTACTGAATTAGCCTCAGAAATTACTGGTAGAAATTCAATACAATCTGAAGTGTAAAATATTTATGGAACATAAGGAATCTCCAACTATTACTGTAACCATAGAAAGAAAAAATATGAAGTCTACTTTAAGGAGCAAGTTTTGACAACTACTTCATGTCAAAAATTAACCCTTTTGAAGTAGCTTTAGTCAGACTTACTAACCATTAATGAATGAGCATCTCTCTACTTTCAGAGCTTTACAACATGCCTAGTTTTTTTAAAAGCCCCAAATGAAAGTGCAAACTCTGCTGAAAATACCATACAGCTCATTACTTGGATTTCCTGACAGTGCACTGTGCTGTGCTGTTCAAAAACGGATCAGGGTTTTGAATGTCACATGTTCTACTTTGGCAAAGACAAAAGAATTTCTCTCTCCCCTTTTCTTGTTGCTTCGTGTACAACAAAAACTCACGTCATGGTTCCTCTGCCCTCAGTCAGCAACGCCAGTAAAACTCAGCCACACAAAAGGCTCTGCTGATCTGACACTGTCTGTTCAAAGGAACACTGGCAATTATCTCCTTCAGGGAGCAACACGTTTGTTCACAGCCCCTGCTCTGCCTTTGGTCAAACCACTTCCCAAGGCAGCTGCACACACACAGGTGGGAAGAGCTGGATGTGCCTCTGTGCAAACGTGCTCTGTTCTCATCCCTCAGTGAAGGGAGGGATGAACAGGACACTCTGAACAGGACACTGCAGCCTCATCCCTCAGTGAAGGGAGGGAACAGCAGCACACTCTGAACAGGACACTGCAGCCTCATCCCTCAGTGAAGGGAGGGAACAGCAGCACACTGAACAGGACACTGCAGCCTCATCCCTCAGTGAAGAGAGGGAACAGCAGCACACTGAACAGGACACTGCAGCCTCATCCCTCAGTGAAGGGAGGGAACAGCAGCACACTGAACAGGACACTGCAGCCTCATCCCTCGGCCTGCTCTGTTTAGGAGGCATCCTGAGGATATCAGATGTGAGCCATCCTCTGTGTTCCCCCCCGACACTGCCCTGGTGCAGCAGTGTGAGCAGTAACAAACCTGCAGTGGCATCGGGTCATCTGTAAGGAAGGAAATCTTGAAGTTGGTGCAAACCAGCTTGCCCCACAGGTCATACTGGCTCGTGTCTGTTGCAATGCACTTCCTTACAAAATTCACTTCATTTACCACAATTTCACCTACAAAAGAAAAAGGGGAGGGCAAAACAGAAGCCTTTATACATCCTGTAGGTACAACAATTCTTAAGTCTGTAGTACCAAGAAACCCTTAACTCTTTACCTCTTTCAAGTTATACACCTCTTCTGGGTAAACCTGGAATTTAACTAACACCAGTCCAGGGAAAAAAAGAAAACTACCATTCCAAAATGGACAA